GAAATTTTGTACCGAAACCAAAACTTCCCGCCGAAAATCGATGTTTCTCGTACCAAATTTGTACGCGAAAAATCTTTCTTCACCCGATGACGCAAAATTTCCATACGAAACATGGTTCGTATGAAAGCCAGTCCACACGGATTCTCCGTGCCGAAAAATCGCATGGAGCACGCCTGGAAAATATCCGTAGCACCCATACGGATTTTGGCACGGAAAATCGTACCCCGGAACCTCTCTAATTTACAAGAGTGTGCAACCCCGCACCTCTCCTGCACAATCTGCAGATACCCCGGCCCACGGCGGAATTTTTGTCGACGTCACCTTTTTTTTACAGAGCATGCGCATTTTGCCGCAGAGCAGTGTGAGAGCACGTGCTGGGAACCGACCTTGTAATGTAGAGTCCGGTCAAGTGCACGAGGCAAAACTTCCCAAAAGACTCGCAGCGTGTGCGTCATAGAAAAGAGTACGTCAACAAAAAATTGTGCCGTGGGCCAACCCATCCGCGAGTTGCACACTCTTGTACATCTAGTATTCTACTTTTGCCACCGGCTATACAATCATGTTAAGAAACACAATCAGCTTAGAAAGCATCTCATGTGGCAGGCCACCAACATGTCCGATATACCTGGATGGCAGATGCAGCGGCGAAAATGATGTCACAGGTATGTTTAGCAAGTTCGCAGATCCGGGTTACCGCCAGCTATACAAAATGTGTACTGAACTAAAACAGAGGTTTGTGTGTGAGAAGAGCGAGAGAGAGAGCGAGAGAGAGAGAGAGAGAGGTCTGAGAGAGAGAGAGAAAGAGAGAGAGAGAGAGAGGTCTGAGAGAGACACTAGTATGTACAACGTGCTCAGTTAGTTCAGGATGCCAGACATAAGCCAAAAAAGCTCCGAGGTTAAACGAGATGTGGCCGAAAAATCACATGACACATATGCATGCAAATGGAAATAACAACAACAACAACAACATAATATATTCTCTTATTTGCCACTGGCCATCGTTAGAATAAAGATTTCAAACAACAATAAAATATTTCAAAACGACAACGACAACAACAACGACGACGACGACGACGAAAACAACAACAACACAAAAGAGTGAGAAAACACGCAGGCGGCAGAAACACGGTGCCCCAGCAGACACACACATGCACGAAAAATACAATGCTGCTTCATAAGATGCACTGTATGCTGTAAAGATGCAATATGGTCAAACAGTAGAAGATGCAGGTAATAATGGGTGGGGAAGCAGAGGGGAGTAGTGCATGTATGAGACACAAGAGGCAGAACAATGGATGTTGTGACAGGGTGTCACAACATGCCAGGGCTCAAACCTGTTTGAGTGGCTGGCGCGGTTGCAACTCAACAGCACAGATTGGAAAGCAAAGTGGCCACTTGCTCACATCCTGCATGGTAATGCAGCATTGCTGCACCACTTAGACAGCCTACTCACATGAAAGCAGTGAGAGTGGGGTAACCGGGTTGGCTGTCTCGCACACAACATCTCAATGAAAGAAATAAGCACCTACACTGGCTACAGAGACCCCCAGCAGGGCAATCTGGGACCCGGGATGGAAAGGCTTCCAGCACCCTTAGTACACAGCATTTCCATACATGGGGAGATGGTTCTCACTGTTCCTAGTTCAGACTATTTTTTTACTACATTCCCCTTTCAATTTCTACTACTAGTGAACATCCCAATTTACTTGCCAACAGGCCCCCTAGACAAATGTTCCCTATTGCTGGTGTGTTTGCCTGCACATAGAGCGGCATGGTTGTGTTCCGTTGGCACAACCTAGAACAAGATGTGCTGGGGAAGAGTGCTTGCTTGGCACTGCACGTGTGCAGGATAGGCCAGAACCAAGAGTACATAACCCCCCAGAGTGTGCAACTCCACTATGGGTGCTGTCCCGACAGAATTTCAAGTTGACGTCATTTTGATGATGCAATGCGCACTGTACACGGATTATCAGACGAATCCGGAACCTGTGGTTGACCGAAGCCGATCGATCCTGTACAAATTATTGCAAAGAACAACGTGTGATGCGTTGACACCCGTACACATGTTGTAAATCACTGGTGCAAGGAGCATTGCGTCATAAATAATGACGTCAACTTGAAATTCTGTCGGGACAGCAGGGTATGTGGGAGTTGCACACTCTGGGGGGGGGGGGGGGGGGGTTATGTACTCTTGCCAGAACGTGTTCTTTGATAATCTACCGGCCATGCATCTGTGTGCATGTCTACTATAGTACATTACTGGCATACAAATCTTGCTCTAGTACAGTGATGGCAACTGAAATCCGACCCCTGAGCGGTGCGCTCACATCGCAAAGACCCATCACGGGATTGTAAAACTACGAAATAGAGACCGCTAGAATGTGAACTGAGGGGTCGGATTTCAGTTGCCAGCACTGTATATAATGCAAGCCTAGCCTGATAGGTAACATGGTTTCATGGCAACAGCGTGAACAAGGTCCGAGACTCTACCAGCCGGTTTATGGTTGTAGTCAGAAGCACTGTTTCCCATACCGTGAGTCCTCCTCGCCTTGTTCACGCGGTCACCGTGAAAACAAGTCTTGTTCTAGTACTACAGCAACACAAAGTTACTGTCCTTCGTGTGAGCCCTGCACTTACGCCAGCCCTCACTACAGATTCTGTGGCACGTCTTTACAACACAACTCTCATGTTAATCAGTTGCATTAGAACAGAATAGCCTCAGGATCAGCAGCCCAAGCCCAGCAATAAAGCTACTGCACACGAGGCAGCATACACACTGACAGAACCTATATAAAAAGCGCTCCCGCCCCAACCGGTTGTGCAAAACACATGTCATCAAGAGCACATGAAAACCAGAGTGCGCAGCTCGGATGGGTGGCTGTCACGGCAGAATTCCGTGATTACATCATTTTAGTGATGTAGTGCGTACAAGCAGGATTCAAGCAGGTCTCTTTCTGCACAACTGCAGCTCAGTTGTACGCACTACGCCATTTCCCGCCTCAGATCTGCGCCAAATATGATGTACTCACGGAATTCCGCCGTGACAGACACCCATAGCAGAAAAGGCCCCAAGCTGCACACTCTGGTTTTCATGTACTCTTGATGTCATGGATGACACTGCTACAGGGTAGATTGTTTTTTGTTGTTGTTTTTTTTTCTTTTGACCCTGGCACTTTTGCAGTGATTCTGTATAGTGCGTCTGACCCAGTGACGTCACCAACAGGGCATTTCAGGAGGGTTGAATGCTTAATGGTTCTCCTCAGCAAAGAGGACATGTATCTAGGGCTTGGAACTCAGAGCGGTGTTGGTCAGTGATCAATATCTATGCGAATACATACCGCGTGGACTGTCCCTTCAAGTTTGCAACAGGCAGGCACAGCTGAACATGACCACATGAGCATTGCGATCTTGGTCGCCAGCACGTCAACAGAGGTGTGGGCACTACGGAGTGTGGCATGTGCAAGACGTGTAGTCGGCGAAGAGCGCAATGTGATGGCGGTGACGAACAAAAGAATTTTTTTGGGAACGAGAGAAAACCCTCTCTCGTCCACTGTGCATCGCAAAACCTGCGCTATGAAGGTAGGATAACCGATAAAATAATACATGCATTTTTTTAATATGGCAGCAGATGAATGGCTCCGTTTCAGGTCGGCAACATTTGGGCAGCTTTTGACGGCAGAGTATGCACAGTTGCATTCGATCTTTCTGGCAAACGCAGCACCCTGATCTCTTCACAATCTGTAATTTGGTAATGTGAGTGGGCAATGGCACATCGTTGGTCAGGTACGCACATACAACCATAATGCTAAAAAAAGTGTGGACGCTTCCAAGGCATAATGGGTTACAGGAAGGCAACATACATCTTTATTCTACATTACTCTACTCAGTCTAAACACTAATTTTGCACTGCGTATCCATGCCAGAAAATTTGATGAATCTGAAGTGACGCATGGCAGCAGAGACACCATGTTTGGACTGAGCAGAGTGATGTGTAAATGCCTGCAGTGGAGTTTGCGAATCCATAGACAAATTACTTTCATTGCACAATACTAGAATACAGGCACTAGAAGACAACATCCCAACAGCCTGCCACAGTACAGTCCATTCATCGGAAACTGGCCCACTGGCTTTTGAAAGTCGGATTTGGGCCGAATTGAGGATCAAAAACCCACTTTAAATCTCAAAAATCTGGGTTTTGGATCTGCTTCTCAATACATTTTGCCATGGCATACCTGTCCTAATTTTGTAAAACCTGGCTGAATTTCTAATTCCCTGTTCTTGGACTTTTCTGGCCTCAAAGGAGTAATTGCACGGGTCACACAATGCAGGATGTACTGTTGTTTTCACGATATCTACAACTATGTGAGAGAGACACCAAAAAGTTAGGGTGCCAGTTTCCAATGAATGGACTGTAGTTCAGAGCACATTCTCCAGACAAAGGGTGATTTATAGACTTTAAATGTGCTGGTTTCAAGGTTTAAAAGTGGACGAACACACACTGTCCTGTCCCTGTCACTAGAGCATTCGGAAAGATTATCGGCAATGGTTGTCCACTGTCGGCGAATGCACACCATCTAAGACACCGTCTGTTGCATAATTTTTTTAAACATTCAGGCAAAGAAGGCGGTTCTCTTTCCTGCTGTGGCAGACTGCTGCCTGATGCCAATTTTCTTTTCTTGCCGTCTAGATCCGGACTGATGCACGCATGCCACAAGAAAGAGTCCTGCATTGCATTCATTAATGCTGCTACAAATTAACACGCATGTAACAGGCCTAATTTCAATTTCAGCAGTGGCAATGTGTGAACAGTATGCCTTGGAATCAGGGACGTGAGCTGCAGCACAGAATCCATGCAGGTCAAATTGGGCTGCACACTTGGCCATATTCAAATTTCAGACACCCATCAATGCACGGGATCGTATTATCGCATTCATCAATAAAGGATCCCAACCCATTTATTGATGGTACCGGGCCACACACACAAATGCCAGCAGACACCGTTATTTTCATGTTTGCTTCGTTGGTTTTGACAGAGACGCTTTTCATTTTTTTTTTGTTCATGTTGCGATCTTTCTAGCCTAGATTTTGCATGCCCAATGCCTAAGCTGAGCACTGGTATTTTTGAGTCAGTTAATTAAAAGCCACGTATAAAAGGAAATACGGATAACAAAAAAATATGCATTATGGTAAAGACATGAGCTGCTGCTACTGCTGCTGCCACTGAAACTACTAAGAATTAATCACAGTACCGACACACCAGCTGCTTTTCGAGACATTTGGATTCAATGCCGCATCATCAATGCAATGCTTTCAGCCGTTTTGACAATTTGACCCGACATACGAAGACAAAAATTCACCCATTTTTCTTTCACTTCAGGCTTTGCCTCCTTCTCATTCGCAGATTTCCCATCCACGATACCAGAGGACGAGATACTTTCCTTTTTTTCTTTTTTTCCAGGGGCTGCCATTTTGCTCTGCCGAGATTTGGGGAATTTTGGGCCACGGATCGACCTGCTGACTTTCGGATGGTGGCCATTTTGCAGCTTTTAGCTCTCACTAAACAGATACAGATGAGAATGCAGCACCCACCGTCAACAGGAGAGGTTGACAACGGCCGCCGCTTGAGTGATCTCACCGTTGACGATGGAGACGTGTCAGGGCTGGTAGCAGTCGGCAAATGGCGGCGAAAGCAGCGGTGTTGGCGGTAGTGATGACGAGTCAAAGATACACACCGGAGTAGAAGAGCAGAAAGGATGCATAGCGGTAGCGGCATTGCCAATCAAAGACGAGGACGCACACACAGGAACGATGCAGTGGGGACAGTGGCAGTAAAGGTGGACTACGATGAAGACGAGGACGTGTTGAAACAGGACAAGACACACATCATCAGCATACATGCAGGTGTGAGAGTCAATCGTCAATGAGTAGTCGACTCAAGCTTGCTGTTGCTGGGCAGGTGGCGGTCCATCATCATGGGAAGCTGGGGGCGCATTCTCGGGCGGTGGGCCACCGCTGGATGAAGGACCGCTGTTGTCTCTCTCAAACGGGGGTCTTGATGGAGCATCGTTGCTGTCCCGCTCATAGGGTGGTCTGGATGACGGTGCTCCTTTCTCATGAACGTACCAGCATCCACGGCCACGGTTGCAACCATTCGGCGTGTTGAAGTACAAGCACGGCGTGCTAGCAGCTTCTTGGCGAGTTTTAGCTGTACCACCGCGACCACCACGGCCTCGCTCGCGGAAACCACCACGGTCACCGAATCCTCCGCGTCCGCGGGGAGGACCACCTCGTCCACGGAATCCACCGCGACCACCATCAGGTGGGCCACCCCTGCCGCCGAATCCGCCTCCACGGCCACCTCTATCTCCATATCCGCCACGACCCCCACGTCCACGTGGTGGTCCACCGGGTCCGCCACGGGACGGAGGTCCACCGAATCCAGATCCACGCGGCGGTGGTCCTCGAGGCCCACTGTCAAACCCAGAGTCGTAGCCTTGGAAGCCACCTCCGCCACCACCGCCATAGCTTGGACGACGCTCATTGGGATATCCATCTCCACCACTGGGACCGGAAGGTCCAGACCCGTAACCTCCACCGGAACGAGGTGGTGGTGGGTTGTATGGAGAATTACGCGGGGCAGACTCGCGGCGCATGGGGCCAGCCTGACTGCGTTCTTGGCGTGGTGGGCCCGAGTCGTAACGCTGAGGAGGTGGGGGACCAGATTCATAGCTAGGATAAGAAGAAGATGGCTGCTGGTTGTAGCTAGGAGCAGGGTAGTCATTCGAACTTGGTGGAGGACCGCGTCCATGGTCATAGGATGTCGTCGATGATGCCGATTGCTGAGGTGGATAAGATCCCATGGGCTGCTGCTCGTAACTACTGGGTCCTGGAACTGAGTCAGAATAGCTGGGTGCTGGTTGAGATGAGTAACTGTTACCTCCATAGTTTGAGCTCGACTGGGAAGGTGGCTGCTGTGACTGCTGAGAGGGATATCCTGTGTCGTAAACACCACTTTGCTGGCTACCGTATGATGACCCACCACCAGAAGAACTACCTCCATACGAAGGGGGCGGCTGGTAGCCACCCTGGCCACTGCTTTGCCATGGTGCCTGTGACATAATTTACTGTCACTAGCTAGGTAAAAGATCTCTCTCTCTCTCTCTGCTTGAAGATTGCTCAGACAAGAGTACTCAAAACAAAGGCTAGAAAGACAAAATCAATGATGGCGCTTGCCGATCTCCTTGCTTATTTTTTTCGTCGGGACTCGAGCGAGGTCAATGGCGACGAAATGCGCATGCGTATGGTGGACATTTGGGCGACGATCATTTCGTCACCACTACACTCGTACTCGAAAAATGCAAAGACGTCATACACTGCACGTGCACGTGCACCGGCGGTCCGGCGCGCGGTCTGTGTATTTTACAAATTACACATTTAATAATATTACTCTTGTCTTGGTATTATTTTTCACTGTACACTGTATCACAATGGTATCAAGAGTCCATAATATTATGCATAATGGACTCTTGACTGTATACAATACTCCCTGGCCTGCTGCATACTACCAAGAGTACATTATGACATAATTGTACTCTTGATACTACTAGTAGTCTCTTGTCAGTCTTGATAATGGTGCATGCACGCACACAAGGGCGGGGTACATTGATCATGGTTCAAGTTCAACTGTTACTTTACGAGACCGTTTTGGCCTCTCTGCATCTCCCAGCAATCAACATTAAATTTTATAATTGTCGTGAAAACCAGGGAGTATTGAACTACTAACTCCCTGGTGAAAACCACGTTTGTGTGTGTGTGTGGGGGGGGGGGGGGGGGGGGGGGAGACGGGTGAACAAGACAAATGCGGAATGGCCAGGGATTGCATATTGATCATCTGAACCACAGAGTTGTCTGTACATGTGCATCTCCCTTATCTGAATCCGGGAGTCATACCCCCAAACGGCGTGTGTACGACTCACTGAACCGCACAGAAGGTTACCGCTGGCTAATCTGAAACTCCAGTATAAGCGTAAGCGCAGCGTACCAGTAAAATACAATGCCATGTACTATGGCTGTAGCTGTTGTAGACACAGGCACTCCGATCGGAGCAGTGAGTCGCGCACAAACTAAATTGCATCTTCAGAATTTCTCCACAACTACCGGTGTGCCGCTACACTAGCTCCCCGGGTCACACGCATCACACAGAACAGAGCAGCGAGCAGTGCATCATTCCAGTAGGTTCAGCACAGGTGGTACTATTGTACAAAGTATTGTAAAGGTAAAATTCAACGGCATTCACTCGGCATCAAAGTCAACATTATTATGTGTTTAGTAGTAGTAGAGTTTACATGCAGTGGCAGTACTATGGTGTACACAAGGGAAAACCAGGGCAACTGTTATGTACAATTAGAATACAGTGTAAAAAAAAGGAGAAAACAATTCACGGTTTGCGAAAAGAACAGAAAAAGAAGGAAAGAGGGCAATCAATTTGGCAAGGACAGAGGAGATGAGTAGAGATAATAGTACAGCCAAGTTACATGTGGGCCAAGAGCATGAAACTTCAATACAGTGTTACTGTCATCAACGACAAGGATCAAACATGCTCTGCAAGCTGATGAGAGCAGGTCACCATGATGAATAATCTCATCACCCACCCATTGCGAGGTGACACAGCATAGTTTGATGGAGTAAGAGAGAGAGAGGGGAAAAGGGACAGAAACCCATCAATATGTAGACTCCTCTTCTCTTCGCTTCTTTTCTTTCTTTGGCTGTGCACAGGGACAAACATACACATGTGCAATGGCCACAAGCTAGCATCAACATTACACACTCAATGTATGTGCATACAACATATCGACCACTAGCAGTCGATGGATATGCATGCACTCGATGATGGCATGTGCTCTTTCAAATACGACTGAGCACAGAGGCAATACCAACACTGATGCAGGGATGAATTTACTGTCATATTTTTGCATAGCAGTTTCTGCTATACGAAGTCACAATTGTGTAGCAGTCCTTGATTTTGATTAGCATTTTTCTTTGAAAGTTAAGTGTTTACCACATTGTCCTTCTTGAGAGTGATGCCTGAAAGCCCATTTGCAGAAAAAACGACTGAAGCATACATGTGCACCCAGATTGAGAGTACCTGCACCACATACACCGCACGGCATGCATGTTACTTGACAGCACAGGCTACGCATGGATAGCCCGTATGTATCGCAATTTTCTGCGAGTCACGGTGACTTTTGAGTAGCAGTAGATCGATTTTGCATCGCAAACTGCGATGCGATACAGGATAAATTCATCCTTGTGATGATTGGAAGACTTGAATAGTACCCGCATAACTAATGACTTCAGTTTGACTGAGAGTGAAGCAACCGCAAATTCGCATACAGCCTACAATCCATTACACAGCTACACTCTGGCTGATGTACAGTGGTCCCTTTATAATCCAGCACCATTTGTGCTCCAGAAATTCTACTGGATTAGGGAGGGTGCTGGATTATGGAGGGGCTGCAATGTGCATGAAGAGGACATTTTGACTACTGAAAATTGTGCTGGTTTATAGAGGGTGCTGGTTTATAAAGTGCTGGATTAAAGAGGAACGACTGTGTCATCAATATTGAAGCTAAAGATCTGATAGAACCAGGACACCGCATTCTTACCTTGTAGGCAATGTTGTAAGAGTTTCTCAACACAATGTACGGAAAGCAGGTTTCCAGCAAGTTCATGGTCAGGAACGGTGATTCTTCAACAAACTGAGCAAATTCACAGCACGAAAACATGCAGCAGCAACAGAAGCAGCAGCAGCAACAGAAGCAGCAGCAGCATTAGGCAACAAATCTCGAAAGATTCACAAGTGAACAGCAGAAGAGTGAGAGGATATATGCCCCCCCCCCCTCCACGTCTCGCAAATAATTAGCACACAGTAAAAGCAGCACACAGAGCACATCACAAGCTACAAGAAAGCGTACAACCTGCAGGATAAGCTACTCACTCGATGCAGCAGGATGTAGATGGAGTCACGATGTCTGGCGTCCTTCTCGTTTTCCTGACCAAGTCGCAGAAGATGAGCCGTAGCAACCTGGAGAATGCCAACAGACACCACGAGTATGTTCAATACACATTGAACACCACACATGGTCATTGCCCCCCCCCTCCCAATACACATAATGGACCCATTGCGCAATGACGTAAAAACAGCCTTCACAGGCAAATATAGAATGCATGAGTAATGCTTGTGAGCATGCTGGGATCAGCAGTGCACTGCTCAACACCCCAGACGCCCCCCCCCCCCCCCCCCCCAGGTGGCTGTGAAGGGTGTTTGTGGTACAAATTACGTCATTACGCAATGGGTCAATTGTACACCACACATGGTCATTGCCCTCCCTCCTCCCACCCAATACACATTGTACACCACACATGGTTAATAACCCACCACCATACACATCGTGCACCACATATGGCCAATAACTCTCCCCCCCCCCCCCCCCCGACCCACCCAACATACACATCACACACCACACATGGTCAATACCCCCCCCCCCCCCCCCCAACATACCCACCGTACACCACACATGGTCAATACCCCCCCCCCCCCCCCCTCCCCTCCCAAATACACATCACCACGAGCATGGTCACGACACATTGTATAGCTACTCGAAGTACTTGAAGTACTAGAGCTCAAGAACTACAAAGTTTGACTAGACATGAATTTCCCTGCCATAATCAGTTGCAAGATACCAGTGCAATACTAGTAATCACATCTGCAACTTACAGCCAAGAACTCGTGCATTCTCTCCTGAATGGTGCAGTAGCCGATGATGGTGAAGATGGCGGCGGACAGCTGATTGACAGCCGTGGAGATGCAGTGGATGTTGTTCTCGTAGCCTGCAAGCGATGGCTGATACTGACTCTGGTCGTTGCTGGCCAGAGTGGGTAGACCAACTCCAACGAAGATCTGCAGCAACGTGGGATGACAAAACGCACACACAGGAAGCTGGGTATAAAGCTTGGTATGAATAGAACAATAATTTTTATGAGTGTGTTCACCACAATGATACGAAGCGCGTGCTAACACAACGCATACCTCTGTTCATCAATGTCCAACAGATAACAACAGTTCATTAGTTCCCGAGGGATTTCCCCCGCATAATACGCCATGGGTACTGGTGCAGGGGCATGTACCCCAGCATGCAGTCAGTCGGACTTACCAGCATCAGACACCAGAGCAAGTAGTCTTGCTGGTTGACATCTGCAAAGCAAACACAATCATACACACAGCGGACATTGAGCAAGGATCATACTACTGTGAAGTACAATACCAGTACGCAGGAACCTGAGAAGCAGCCAAGATGTGTAGAGTGCAACACTCTGGGTAAGGCGCATAATCACAACAGTACGGACATTGTTTGGAGAGCACGGGTGTATTGATCCACACTGAAGTATGTTTGGATAAGAGGTACCTTGGATACTAAGTACAACACGGTCTTGCTGCTTATGCACGGATATGTCTTATCAGAGTTCAACTACCAAAGGATGTACAGTAGAACTCCCTTAGTACATACTCTGATAAATTCGTGATAATACATACCCTTGCTTAGTACAGACAATGTCTGGAGCACGGGTGTAGTGATCCACACTGACGTATGTTTGGATAAGAAGTACCTTGGATACTAAGTACAATGTCTTGTCAGGGGCGTCGGAAGGTATTTTAGTGTGGTACGGTCAGTAATCTCAAGTACAGTTTACTCGTGTGGGAGGGATGGCGGAGCCGAATTTTTCGCAAAATTTAGAGTCCAGATCAGGGTATTTTATTGATTCACGGGGTACCTGGAGAAAAAAGTGGTACGGTCAATACCGTAGTGACCGTACCGTGTCCGACGCCCCTGCTTGTTGCCCATGCGGGTACAGTAAAACCTGTAACTAAAGACCACCATGACTAGCAACCAGCCTGGTACTACAGACCACCATGACTAGCGACCAGCCTGCTACTACAGACCACTTCGCCGGGCACGGACGGTCTCACATTCATAATTATAATTATGGTTGTGCGGTGCGAACCTCTAACTAAGGACCACCTGCCACTAAAGACCGCTTTCTCTGGCCCCAACGGGTGGTCATTAGTCACAGGTTTTACTGCACTGTAAACACCAGCCAAACAGCCAAACAGCCAAACAGCCAAACAGCCAAACAGCCAAACAGCCAAACAGCCAAACAGCCAAACAGCCAAACAGCCAAACAGCCAAACAGCCAAACAGCCAAACAGCCAAACAGCCAAACAACCAAACAACCAAACAGACAAACAGCTCAATCTATCCAAACTGGTAACTACTACAGTCTTGCAATGTCATGCACAAAGAACTCTCCACGTCGTCACCATTCTTTAACCCTTTGGCTCCCCACCATACAAATTTCGACGTTATTCCGTCGATGACTTCAAACAGCCATAACTCATTCAAATATTGCACTATCATGAAAATCAAGTATGTAGGGTGTAGCTGAAGTCCTCAGCTTTCCGTTGGTGCAATCGTTTTCACGATAGCTCCAACGGTTGTTGAGATATCGCGCTCGAAATTCGGAGGACGGCACTTTTCTCGCTCCAAGCACATTTTCGGGTATGAACTGGGGAATTCCCCTTGTTCTCAAGTACCTGATTTGCGTAAATCATGGTGCTGGCTACCTGCTGCGGCAGTACAAAACAATCTGAGCTGGGCGAGCAAGGAAATTGAAATGGCTGAAGAAGAAAGGGATTGAGGGCATTCCCAGCGATGGGGTACCTTTGCTGGGCCTGCCACTCTGATTTCGCAAGGTGATGGCTCATTGTGTTTGCGCTGAGAAGAGCTTTCCGGAGAGCCCACCATTGTGGAAATCAGGCTACTAGAACGTAAGTTATGACCAAAAGTTGACACAATTTGAGCGAAAATTATGGCTATTGCTAAATAGTGGAGTTATGGGGGAGCCAAAGGGTTAATGAAGCTCTCTAGAGGTGGTCAAAGACGTACTGGTGTCTGAAATTCACACACGGCTCCGCAGCAAGATGGACTGACATGACACTATTCGGTATCTACTCTTGGCGATACAGTCAGACCTCGCTTAACCGCACACATCCGTTTTCCACAAAGATATCCGGATAGGTGAGGGAACCGGATAACCGAACACCGTTTATGTTGTATGCATCACGTATGCTGTAAATATGTAACCAGCTATTTTCTTCCGGATGGCAAGGGATCCGGATAAGCGAGGACCGGATAAGCGAGGTCTGACTGTACGTTCGTTATCGAGTGTGGGAGTTGGGGGGCACATCCCCCCCCCCCCCTAATCTTCCCTCCCCTAGTACTCACCACATTGGGTGACCAGAGCAGACTTCAGTTGAGTGTGGGGTTGGGGCACACAACCCCCCCCCCCCCCCCCCCCAACCGGCCCCACCCTCCACAAATACTCACCACACTGGGTGACCAGAGCAGACTTCAGTTTGGGATCAACGATGCATTCGAGACCAGCGGTGATGGCCAGATAGTCGAGTTGCTCAAGCGCTTTATCGCTGCCCGAGTAGTGCTCCTTGAAGTCAATCACTGAGTTCATGACGAACGGCACACGCTTGTTCAACACCTGCAACAAGACCAGCACAGTAGCAACACACAAGCAGGACTTCAGCATTGGATTGGAGGTTACTTGCAGCTTCATTGAAAAAAAAATAAAAATTTCACGGTTCGCGTGAGACTCGGCCAAAGGCCCAGTTTTCCGCATCCGCAGGAACGCCACCACCCTCTTGGATCAAGGCGCAGATGCAGCTCCTAAACGGTGGGAGGTGAGTAGATCAGACCCACCACAAAGTGGTCAAAGACCGAAATCACATTCACTGCATCCATGTTTCCCTCGTGCCAGGCCACGAGTTCCCAATTAACTGTGGGTCGCAGCACGGCTGGAAAAAATCCTTCCGCTTCCAAGCAGGACTTGAACCTGGTACCCGCTTCATTGAAAGGAAAGAGAAATAGGAATGCACACGCTTATTCCCACAGTACTGCAAAGTCAAAGGCAACCCATACGAAAATCGGCAATTTGCCGTCCTCAGGATACTAGTCATGGAGAAAACACAGTAAGTTTGGTGTGTCTGGCCAAACCTCCTTCACGTCTAAAACACACAGCAATGCCAAAGATCAGCATTGGAAACTTCCGAAAGAACAGGATATGACCCATGGCAACACAGAGTACGTGTACAGTAGAACCTGATAAATGCACACACACACACCCACCCAAGGGGCTACATGATCATACATGTAACTTATACTGGTAGCCATCACTGTCCTCATGTACATGCTCATCAGTACAAAGTGTGCACCTGTGGAAAGTTTCTCTCGCAGCGTTCGCATCTTTCAGGTCTCCTTTCACACGATGTCCAACCGTGCCACACACACGTACACACGTACACACGCACACACATACAAACACACACACGCATGCGTGCGCACGCACACACACACACGTGCGCACACACACACACACACACACACACACACACACATGTGCACACACACACACACACACGTGCGCACACACACACACACGTGCGCACACACACACACACGTGCGCACACACACACACACACATGTGCGCACACACATGTGGCCGCCCGCACACCTACACACACACACGCACACACACGCACGCACGTGCGTGCGCACACACGCACGCACACACACACACGCGCACGCACACACACACACACACATGCATACGCACACACCTCTCCCCAACACACTCACCTCCTTCATGGCACTGAAGAGAAGCTTTCTGAAGTTCAGAATGGTACCGACAATGGTCAGACGTTGAAGCAACTCCTCGGTTCCTACACAGACAAGCACAGAGTTGCACAGTCCAGTGTATAAACAGCAGCAATACTCAGCAAAAAATTATTAAGAGATGAGAAAGTTTGGCAGTTTGGCATGTACATGTATGCATACAGTCCATGCACACTATGCACATAGCCTGAATGACAGCCGATTTTCAGTCCCTCAGATTTATGAGTAATTGACAAAAACATAAAATTTACTGAACGGACTGCGTGCACTATGTCCAGGTGCTGTCATCCATACACATTTTCTGAATGAAATGCCGTATTATCTCCATTATAAGCCCTGCGCTTTTATTTTTTCAACCAGTTCGGGCCCTGGGCTTATATTTGAGACTGGGCTTCTACTAGAGACTGGGCTTATAATTTTTTATGTACATTGCTTATTACTGCTTACTATATTTCATTATATCAGTAGCACAAAGTTTCCCAGCAGGGACCGGGACTGCGGTTCTGTGCGCTTATATTGGAGACTGCGCTTGTATGTCTTAGAAGCCCTCTTGGAGTGCGCTTATAACAGGGACTGGGCTTCTACAAGCGACTGCACTTGTAATAAGATAATTAGGTAGGTGCTTTCAGGAGACTTTTGATGCTTTGCAGATCTACTTATAGGTGCACTATTTCGTCCAACAGATTTGTGCACACGCTTCTTGTACAGTACCCACTTCATCCTTAAGCACCCGGTCCATAGCTGCTGCATATCTATCACATGACCATACAGGACAGCCATATTGCTTCTAACTCCAGTAAACGGTTGCATCTACGGGTCACATGATGTCGGCCATGTTGGTTCCACTGCCCACATGCCATGATCACTTTCTACAGCAAATCTAAGTGAGTCACATGACAAAGATGTGAAACGGCACTCTGTTGCATTCAATGGCCAGGCAGGAAATATTGATGTGTACCTTGTGACAAAGTGTGACGAGTAATACCAAGAGTCCATAATCCCCTAGAGTGCACAACTTCATTGATCAGATCTGGGACGGCGTCATAGTGTGACATCATGAGCGGGGGAAGTGTGTTTGGGTGGTGGACCGCGTCGACGGAATGACGCAAGTCCGACCCAAAAAATGACGTACATCACGGATAACGCCGTCCCACAACCCCATCCCAGTTGCGCACTCTGGGGGATTATCGACTCTTGGTAATACTTCAATGACAATTGGAAACAAACCTCTGATGGGTATAGAATGACAGACACCTTGGTGATGGGGCTGGAGATGGCTGGAGATGGCTGGAGATGGCGATGATGACGGTGTTGACTATGGCAGTGGTGGCATGGTGGTGGTGACAATGCAGTGTTCATGATGGCGGTGACAGTGATGGTGATGGCGGCGGTGAGACGGAGCGGCAATCTTCTTCTCACCGTTCAGTTTCTTGATCCAGTCGCAGCACACTTCAATCTTGTCCGAGTTGCCGCGGATATTGTGCAACAGGTCCTTGTTGGTGATGAGCAGTTTCTGTCACAACAGAATTGGGGAAAGTGGATAGTGCAAAGTACAGGCTTAGCTCCTCAAATCTCTCACAAAACAATCGTGTGAGTGTTAGTTGTGCCCTGTACCACTTCACATCCTAGTGTTCACAGGTCTAGAGCAGCACAGCGCACAGCGTGGCATTCACTCACTGCATCAGATATTATTTAGCAGTACTGTACAGTATATATGTACAAGTAATGCAGACATGTTTGACTGGTTAAACTAGGGGAGGAAAGGAGAGAGAGAGAGAGAGAGAGAGAGAGAGAGAGAGAGAGAGAGAGAGAGAGAGAGAGAGACACACACACACACACACACACACACACACACACACACACATACACACACACATACACACACACACACACACACACACACACACACACACACACACACACAAAACAGACAGACAGACATACAGGCAGGCACACATACACAATGAGCCAACATGTAGCCTACTGTAAGACATGTATATATAACGAGGAAGCAAATCTAACGTTTTAACGGATGACATTTCTTCGTTATAATAAGATCCGTTGAGGCCTTACTGCTTCATATATGCTGTGTGTGGATATGGCAGAATACTGCAAGATCGTTAACATATCTTCTCGTTAACCTATGAATTTTGGACAATCGTTAAATTTGCGACTCGTTATAATAACATGTCTTACAGTACTCATTACCTTGATCTCGTTGACTTGCGACACAATGAGATCAATACACTCATCTCCAATATGTCGAATACCATACGCACCGACCAGTTCACACAGAGCCTTCAACTCTAACAGTTTGAAACATGACACATACATCACAAACATGTGCAAGCAATTGGTAAGAAGGTAAGTTGAAAGCATGAAATAGCACTCACTCTCGTATGAATACTCAGTGAAGTACTTCCTCCGGAAACAAAAAAATCGTCACTTTGAACCAGGGAGTAGTAAAATACAGGGAGGTGACACGCCACTAATCGTGATTTTTGATGGGTGCCTCGCGCTTGTTTTTTTTTCTTTCGCAAAAAAAGATGATCTGCTGAATCAATCTTGAGTATTTGTCGAAGAACTAATTCCGTGAAAAGGTCTATCCATCTCATGGAACAGCATTTGTTTTGCTCTTGTGATACATCTGTGTCATCGTCATATGGAAAGGTACCACCCTTCCGAAATTCGTCCCGATCGACGGCATGGAGCAATAGAACGAAGGTGATTTCCTTGAGAACAATACGTGTACGATTGGAGATGAAAAGCGAGTGCACCGATTTCGAAGTCGAAAAAATCTCTAGGACACCACACGATCGGCACTAATTTCTCCTCAGTTGTGATCAACCAGTACTTCTCTACCTTCTTTGTGATGATGAGCATTTCATATTATGGTATGCTAGAGATTCGGGAGTTCACTTTTCGGAATGAAATGTTCCTAAGTTTGTCAAGGATTGAAATGCGGGCTACGTCGTCGTAAACAGCTTGTATCGACACAGGAAAAATCTACGGCACGCAGGGATATCTCCCAAAGTGATACCACTCTTGCTGGAATTCTATCCTGACATAGTGGTAGTTTGGTCGACTACCAAACTTTGTGAAGGCAGACAATTGTTGGAAATTCTCAGCGCTGAGTTTCTACGGGCTGCAGTAGGAGTCTCTTTGGCGGTAGGTATTTTACTACCGTAAAGTACCGTTGATCCGCCCCCTCTCTAATTCCCGCCCCCTGTCGATTTTCTCCTTGTGAAGCGACTTCGGCGTATACAACGAAATACGATGTTGAACCGACGCATACACTGCTGTACACAATACTTGCCAATCCAGGATCAAAATGTGCACAATCCAGCATATTGAGACTGATCCTCTACGTTGTTGTACATCGTACTGCACTTGACAGCCTTGATCTAATTCCCGCCCCCTGCCGAAAACCCAGCTGGGAAGCGACATGGCGTGGGGGCGGATCAACGGTACTTTACGGTACTCCCTGATCGAGAGAATCCTGATCCGCGCGCGTGTTGTACACACTTCGGTACCCATAGTACCCCAATCTCACCCGCCGGGTGAAAACGGTGCTGAGGCAATCGTCAAACTGGCCGTACATGCTCGTGTCACCTCCCTGTATTTTACTACTCCCTGCTTTGAACGACCAGTCAGTTCTGGTGAATCGAGCGATGGTGCCACTGAGCACCGCGACTCACACGGTGTCAATTTCTTTTGTATACTAGTACTCTAGAAAACACCCACAGACAAATTTGACCCACACGTGACCCCCCCCCACACACACACACCATGTACACACACGCACAAGCAAGCAATAACAGTCCACGTCAGCTACCTGTAGGGTCGGTGTACATTTCAGCTTGGAAGACTTCTTTTCCACGGCTCACAAAGCAGTGGCGATTTGTTGCAAAGCACCCTGTGCCAGCACAGATACGCTTCATCAACACAGTGTTGTACCTGGCAACAACAACAACAACAACAACAACAACAACAACAACAACAACAACAACAACAACAACAACAACAACAACAACAACAGCAGCAGCAGCAACAGCAACAGCAGCAGCAACAACAACAACAACAACAACAACAGCAGCAACAACAACAACAACAACAACAACAACAACAACAACAACAACAACAACAACAACAATCTCTTATTGGCGATGGTGCCATCGTGAGAATAAAGAATTCAACAACAACAACAACAACAACAACAACAACAACAACAACAACAACAACAACAACAACAACAACAACAACAACAACAACAACAACAACAACAACAACAACAAACACAGTCAATACAGTGTCAAAAGCGGAGAAAGATGGATGGAGTACGACATTCGGCGCAGTGAACAGGATCTATGCTCTGTGTACTGTGTTTGTATGCGGTTAGAACCTGGCATGTCCAGTCATCAACACACACACCCCGCAGGTGGAGATCAAGAATGACGCTACCACACCCACACCATGCTGCTGTTCGAAAAGATTGGCGGATAGGATGCCTTTCAACACATGCTCAGTTTGGGGACAATGATTCTCAGTACATATACCGTAGGTCTGCAAGCTGACTGATCTTACCATGATGAATAGACATGGCAGATGGTTGGCTGACTATTGATCTCCATGTCCTGTGCGTGCTGAAGCAGCACGGCATTGAAGATTCGCACAACGTCAATGTTCACTGCACATTGAAAAGGAAAAGGAGAACAAACACCAGACACGTACGCAAGCACGCACACATGCACACACACGCACGCACGCACGCACACACACACACACGCTCACACACACACACACACGCACCCACAGATGAGAAAGAAACAAAATCAGTTCAAATGTACTCCTCGTGAGGCATGTTCAAAGGCCACAGTGACTACACGCATTATCCTGCCAAGATAATAGCTATGCAAGACAGGATCAAAAAGGTCGTTCCACGGGGTCAAAATGCACGCATTTCCAGTACCAGCTACCAGAGGGGTGACTCGTGCTCGACATCGAGCTTCCCTAGCAATGGGCATGCAACAGAAGATGTCAGTGGTACCATTTGCGTAAACATGACAAAGAAACTCACGGAAGTTCTCGATCATCCTCAGCATGTTCAGGATACCCTGCGAGAGACGATAGCAAAAGAAGCCACAGGAGCAAGAGGAAGAGCTGGCAATTTAGAATTGCGTACACATACAGAGAGATAAACCAAAGGAGCAAGAGTACATAACCCCCGAGAGTGTGCAACTCCCACATACCCTGCTGTCCCGGCAGAATTTCAAGTCGATGTCATGCTTATGATGCAATGCTCCTCGCACGAGTAGTTCACGACGTTTGTGCTGCGTGTCAGCGCATCACACGTGTTTTCTTGAACTAGTTTGTAAAGCATGAAATAGAGATTTGTCCACCACAGGTCCAGGATACGTACGATTATACGTGTACAATGCAAGCTGCACCGTAAAAAATGACGTCAACTTGAAATTCTGCCCGGATAGCATCCATGGTGGAGTTGCACACTCTAGGGGCCCATGTACTCTTGGTATTAAAAAGGAAAAAGAAAGAGAGGCCTCAGTTGAAGAAATAACCATCATAGGTAAAGGATTTTCCGGCTCTGAAACCAGAAATCAGGTCTGTCTTTTCACATCATTGGCCACAATCTACACTGTGAAAGAGGAGAAAATGAAAGTTCTCAAGATCAGGTGAGATTAGATGCAGGGACCTACTGATTGCCAAGCACTAATTCTACCAAGATGCTATGGAGCAAGCATGTAGATAAGAAGGCAGACAACAGTAACAAGGCAAGCTTGTCATTGAGGTGAAGTTTTCGATTTGGAAAGGTCTCTCAACACCACTGGGCTCATCTGGGCTGCACAACTCTGCTCATTATACTTTTTTACTCACTAGAAACTGATAATATTTCAGGTAGGTTTAGAATTCTCGGACTTTAGACTGTTTACATGAGAATTTTCAACCCAGGTTCAAGTCTGTACGGTGGAAAAAATGTGGGTTGACCTGGGGAGATAGATAACTGATACATATGCCGACAAAAGTCGATTGCTAGAGTCCTGTATGGTTGTGTGACTACTCTGGATGGAAATTTGCCTATACATGTACAGTGATGTGCAATCTTGGCGTGAAATACATGCAAGTATCGTACAGTGCGTCCTCGCCTTGTTCAGGCTGTCATCGTGAAAATATAGTACCTTTCAACAACCTGGGTCCAGTCAATCTGTAGTTGTAGCGGGTTGAACACTCTCATGCTAACACAGCCTTGGATGCACGTGCTTTGCAGAGTGCACTGTACACACGCTGCACTCCGCACTGGGGGGTGGGGTGGGGAGGGGAGTCTGTACATTGAAATACCTGGCTGGAAGCATGCTAAAACCTAGCCAAGAAGTCTGTACTGCTGCCCATGCAGGTTCACACACCTGCTTCAGTACATCGTTGAAAAGCACTATAGTTGAAATTGGTTAGCTGTGGGGGATATCATGGCAAATGGCCGACATGATGCAATTTTACCAACACCATACTAGACGAGCGTTGAACACTTCTCTACCGACCGTGCTCCACTGCACAATCACACACAACGCCTGTGATAGACTCACAACAGTGTACACACACACACACACAAACACACACACACCTACCTTGATGGCGTTCAGCAGAACAGTGGGCCTTCTCACTTCGGGGACATCCTTATCTCTGGGGACCACTGGTAGCTCCAGCTGAGCAAATATTAGCCTGAAAAAAAAAACACCACACACAAACAACTCGCACACATGCACACACGTACACACATGCACGCACACACACACGCACACAAGCAGACACGGACGGTGATTAAAAAAAAGTAAAAATGCGACCACGCCAGGATTCGAACCTGGAATCTCCTGATTCGTAGTCAGGCGCCTTATCCGTTGGGCCACGCGGCCAGTCACACAGAATACCAATGCAGGCACGAAACATGTCATGAGGGGTTCCAGTCGGGGTTCCTTTGCCTTTGGATACGAGCAAGAGTACATGAAAACCAGAGTGTGCAGCTTGGGGTCTTCTCTGCTATGGGTGTCTGTCACGGCGGAATTCCGTGATTACATCATATTTGGTGCAGATCTGAGGCGGGAAATGGCGCAGTGCATACAACTGAGCTGCAGTGGTGCAGAAAGAGACCTGCTTGAATCCTGCTTGTACGCACTACATCACTAAAATGATGTAATCACGGAATTTCGCCGTGACAGCAACCCATCCGAGCTGCACACTCTGGTTTTCATGTACTCTTGATACGAGTAACATTGCTGTTGGGGAAACACTGGAAGCTTTGGAAAGTACTAATGATCTGCTCCAAATACCCCCCCCCCCCCCCCCCCCGTAATTTCTTTCTGTGAAACGACTTGAGCGCACGCGGAAAAATGCTGTGTCAGACAGATGAACGCATTGGGGTACGCAACACAAGCCGCTCAAGGCATTCCGCTGGATGGACCAGTGAGCAATCCAGTACAGCAGCAAGTGTGATCGGTTGCACTTGATCGTGTTCTTGTACCGGAGAGTGCACCGTTCCTTACAGTCTTGCTTTCACCAGCTCTATCCCCCCCCCCCTAAACCAGCGGTGAAGCAACACAGCATGGGAAGGGGATCAATGGTACAGGTATACCCTGTAAGACATACTCGACAAAACAAAGTGCATGACATTCCCTTGAAATCGACCAAACTCAGAACCTATTCTACACTGTAGGCGAGAGACTTGAGTAGAATGTTTGCTCTTCTTACACCATGAATGCAGCTTGCAGTGGTTGAATGGCATACTCCCTCGGCACAAACGTATGCTTCCACACGTCCAGCGATGTCAGCAGGTTGAGTGCGTAGCACAGGTCCATGATGCCATAGAGCTTCTCGTCAGACCTGCCAACACCACATGCACACATGTGTACAGTTTAGAATACTTGAACAAACACAAACACAAACACACACACCAATCTTGTCTGGTTTATATGCCAATTCAATAACACCCCCCCCCCCCCCCCCCCGAGTGTGCAACTCTGCTGGGTAGGATTTCATCAAAATTCACGACCTACGCCATCCAGGTGTGGCCCACTGGAGCCTTTCCAAGTCTTTGGCTGAATGGCTAAAGCTGAGCAGTGTGAGAGACCTCTACAAAATCAGTAGCTGATGGCAAGGTGGCAAACAGCTCCCTTCACACACGATTCATACAGAGCAAACTCTGGAGCAAAGCTCTCCCGAAAAATTAAAAAGTGACACTGAAAATAACGTGTTGCACAGTACAGTGTGCTGTCGAGCCAGACGGGCCATTCCCTTTGATTGCTGCAAGTCAGGCGCGTACGCAGGGTCACCTCTAGGGGGGTTTCCAACGGAATCGCAAACAATGACTCGCTAACCCTTTGCATTTTGTATTTCTAAAGAGCCATAGGAAATTTTCAAAATTATGCATTTCTTCGTGTTCTTTGGATCATAACTTCAGTTCTACTCACTCAATCTTCTTCATTATCTTAGGCTTCCTGGAAGTGGAAAGGTACCCTGGAGAGAATGAGGTCGACCATGATAGCCAGGACACAGTACAGCCATGTACATATCCAGCGCTATATGCTATACTCAGCTATAGCGGTAGAGTGCGGCGACGGCGCGGAAAAATGCCCCCAACGCGTCCTGCTCCAGCGATTTCGTTTTTCTTGATCGCAGAGTTTCGATTTTTGCTGTGTACTCTTGAAAATAATAAGTGAAGCCCCTGCAAATTTGAGCAAGTCCGCGTACGCGTGACGAAAATTCTCAAATTCTCGATACTCGAGTCGTACTGCGCACTTTTGAAATTGCGAGATCGCGGCTCAACTCACGAACGATTTATGTCAAGAGACACCGCTCGCAGTGCGTCGCAAATTGTTTCAACCGACAGCTGAGAGTTTTCTATTCGACCTGGATATTGGATCGTTGGATTTGAGCGAGGTTTGACTGAGTTACGATCTGTTGAAGTTTTGCATACTTGCCAGATCGATCGTGCGCCCTACCAAAATATGCCCAAAAACGTTGCTCATTTGGAACATCTGGGGGGTTTCCGGGCAACGGGAACCCCCCCCCCCCCCCCCTTGCTTACGCGCCTGCAAGTTGTTGTGCAAACCTTACTTGGACAGGGCTTCACGCCGTACACGGTAGCTCTCCAGGCCAGGCTGGTCAAAGATCTCAGCCTCCTTGCCCTTCTTCTTCGCCTCAGACTTGATTCGCTTTCCCTTGCTGTCGGCCAGCAGTAGAGCATTGTGTGGCAGTAGCTGTAGAGACAAGATATCAATACGTACACATTGTGTGTGCACTGTTAGTCAAGGCTACAGGCACAGCATAGAGCTCACTGTCAGTGTGTGTGTGTGTGTGTGTGTGTGTGTGTGTGTGTGTGTGTGTGTGCGCGCGCGTGTGTGCGTGTGTTGTGTGTGTGCACGTGTGCGTGGGTGTACATACCGCTGCGTTCATGGTGATGAAGTCTTCCGCCAGGTTGAGCACCCGCTTGCCCAGTGTGTCAGCGATTTGTTCCAGGTAGGAGTTGACCAGCTTGACTGAGTACGCACCGATGAAAGCAAGCTGAACAAGACACAGAAAATACAGCACCAAATAGAACAATTCACTAATTGATTGAATGACATCACAAGCAGCAACAGGCATTACGGCATGCTGTGTTTGGTACCCTACGCCACCATGCTCAAAGGCAGTTACTAACATTCAGATGGACCTGCAAAGCAAGATTGCGACATGCTGTGTTTGATATCTGATGCCAGCACGGCCAAGACTGTTAGCTAGCTGTGTGCAGAATGGGCTTTCACATACAGTACTGTCAGGCGCCGAAGAACGGAGCGCCGAAGAACGGAGCGCCGAAGAACGGAGCGCCTAGAATTTCACCAAGCATAGCACACCACTATGTATACACGGTGACTCAACTGTGCACAGACTGCATTACATGGAAATAAGAACGGTCTAGGCTAGGAGGCTGACCCCCAGTTCTTCGACGACCGACAGTACTATACACATACATTATGTCACTGGCATTCATTGGCATGGCTATACGATAGCCATGCCGGGTGATGAAAACGGAGTGTGCTTCAACAGGGGGGGGGGGGGGGGGGGGGGGTCTTGCACAATGCTAGGCACAAACCTGCAGACTTCAAGTGCAAAACAAGTGAATGCGTTGCACATGCACATTGACTGCTTTACACTGCAGTCGAATACTGGTGAGCATACACATACATGTACAGGGGTGGCGTGGCCGTGTCATACACAAACTGTATGAACGGCTGTGGTGTGGCCGACCAATCATAAACTGCTTCCACCGGTGCTGATGCATTGTGCTAATAGTCATCCACCACCACCCTCATTCAGGACAGACTTCAAGCAGTCAAGCCATAGTATGGCAGTTCCAGAAACGAGCGCTGCCCGGATGAGAGCTGTTCAAACGAGCGTACTAACACATGTACAACAATACGGGACCTACCTCTTCGGGACAGTAGCGCAGGTTCTCTCCGCAGAATTGCGCACAGATGTAGGGGATGGCAATCGAGAATCTGCTATAAATACACGAGAAGGAGAGGCAACGCCAAGTCACTTGTCAAGTTGACAGCTACATGTACATCTACGGAACACACTTTCGGAAATGAAAAAAAAACACCTCTGAAGGGCCAGAGCATCATCAATACTACCTCCCGTAACATGCACAGCAGCAACTACGCACGCACACACACGCACACGCGCATGCACGTGCGCACACACACACACACACACCACACACACACACGCACACACATAAACACACACACGCACACACACACACACACACACACACACACACACACACACACACACACATATACACACACATATACACACACATATACACACACACACACACGCCGGTTATCGTATTGCTTTTGAGTGCATATAAACTTCCCAGCACGTACTCACATAACGTTGATGAAGAGCTACATCACAGAACTCTGCTCTATGCTACTTGAGGGCAAGAGGGGTGGGGGAGTTAACTTAGGAGTCAGAGCAACGCAAGCTGCACATGTTCAATGTACTACAATACAGTAGACATGTTAGTAGACATTACTTCAGCGTGGGCGACAACAATGACATACCTGCCCTGAGATTCACCGAGAGAATCCTGGAATGCACGATCCAAGACAGTATGATAAGACCTGTAGAGTAAGACCATCGCCACCACCAGAGGCAGCACCACCAGAGGCAGCAGCACCAGAGGCAGCAGCACCAGAAGCAGCAGCAGCAACATCATACCATCACCAATAATAACGGCAGCGGCAGCAATGCATATAAGAGCAACACAGACCATACAAAGTGAACCATACAAAGAGATGTGCGGAATTCCAGTGAGTAAGTTACTATTGCTGAGACAACAATGGTCTGCAAGCAGTTATTGACACCTTAATAAGAAAGCATTCAGGCTAGAAAGGGCAACTGGATTAGACAATAATGTTACAGAACTCTGTACATGGACACTCCGAGTGTTCAGACTTCTTGCTTGTCATACAGTCATTTGTTTGCACACTGGGCTTAGTGCCTACTGCACACACACATACACACACACATACACACACACACACACACACACGCACACACACACACACACACACACACACACACACACACACACACACATACACACTCCAGAAGATCTGATGAGCATGGCCAATACTCGTACTCGCCGTGCAGACTTACACCAGCATTCCCAAATCTGAGATCTCATCGATGGTGGGCAACAGCTTGTCGACCATGTTTGTGTGAAACGTAGTGTTGTGCAGTGCAATGCAGAACTGCGGTGCCTTGCGCAATGGATTACCCAGGGGATTCTGAGATGTGAAGATCTACAGAATCACAGTGACCAAACAAACGGAGAGAGAGAGAGAGAGCGCGAGAGAGTGAGAGAGAGACAGCGATCAGAGAACAGCAAAGCATACTCGTACATGTACATGAATTATGACGAAATCAACACACATTCAGGTGGTCCACACCAGCAAATATTGCGAAGCAACAAGCTAAACACACCTAGCTGATGATACAAACAAACAATCTCAACCCAGACATTTTCAGACAAGGTACAAGCAACCAGATACACACACAGTGGGATACAGTGGGACGAGGAGTAATGTAGAATCAAGAGTACATAACCCCCCAGAGTGTGCAACGCCGATCCAGCTCAGCATAGGGTCTTGGTCGAGCGGAATCGGATCTTCTGATGTCATGCGTACACTCCACACCAGCGCAAGGCCGGTCTCGAGGCAGGGCACCATTGATTTTGATCCGAGAGTACCCGCGACTTCCCGGGTTCCCCTCACATGTGTACGGTATTATGACGCAAAGATCCGATTCCGCTCGACCAAGACCCTATGCAGAGCTGGATCAGGCGTTGCACACTCTGGGGGGTTATGTACTCTTGGTAGAATGCTCACCTGAGTACGGATCCAGTCCAGACGTATAGCTGCCAATGACGGTGGCTTGTAGTCCATGTCCTCAACTGCAACACACAGAGATACACACACACAGACGCACGTGCATGCGCGCACACACACACACACACACACACACACACACACACACACACACACACAAATCCACGCCCACACACTCACACAGACATACACCCATCCACGAGCACGCACAACAACACATAGACAAAGCATGTACACACAGCGAAGTCGCAGCCATTGGATCACACATATCAATACGAATTATCGGAATAGTTCCTTGGCACTGCACATTCTGCTTGGATTGTTCATCCGCTACAGCTCACCAGAAGTAGATTGTACTTCCTCTAGAAATAAAAATTCCGTGCCTTCGAGTCAGACTCAAACGGTGCCATTTTCTTTTGTATAACAGTGCACATACCAGTAGTTCAAAGAAGTACAGTAAACCATGTAACTACAGTCCATTTCAAAACTATAGACGCGTACCTAGGCAAAAACCGTTATGCCAGCATCTATACCACATAAAATCTGTGATCACTTTGTGCATAATTTTTTCCAAATTGGGCGTCTGTTATCCAATCGTTTAGAAACTATATGGAGCGGTCCTGAGCAATATTCCGAAAACTATTCTCAAAAAGTTCCAGCCAAATTTGAAATATTATTTCAAAAACCCTACGCGTCTATAGTTTTGAAATGGACTGTACAGACCACCGTGACTGGTGACCAGCCCGGTACTACCGACCACTTTGCCAGGCACGGACGGTCTCACATTCATATATGGTTGTGCGGTGCAAACCCTCTAACTAAGGACCACCTGCCACTAAAGAAAGCTTTCTCTGGCCTCAAGGGGTGGTCGCTAGTCACAGGTTTTACCGTACATCCACTCATTGCCTTGAAGTGTTGTTGTTCCACTGAACCAAACTTCATGAGCACAGGAAGAACTCCTCAGGATACGAAAAAAGTCGAGAAGTTTTTTTTTGTTTCTGGCGAAAGCAAGAGGCAATCAAACAGCCAGTATGCACGTATGTGCTCATGGAATGATCTGATCTGGTAACACACACACACATACACAGTCACATCAGCCACATACAACATACACAAATAGAGCCAGAGGTTAACACAACCAAGCTTGAAGCCATCACTGAAGCAAGTGCACAGCATAGTGATGCACCGAGGACAGCGGCAGACTTACAATTTGGCCTTGTGCTGGACAAGTTGTTGAGGCTGGCTAGCATACTCTCCACACAACCATGCTCATCTCCCTCATTGCCCAGTTGCTGAGAGAGAGAGAGAGAGAGAGAGAGAGAGAGAGAGTGAGTGAGAGAGAGATAGATAGAGAGAGAGGGAGAGAGAGAGAGGGAGAGAGAGAACACAGGTACATATACACACACACATCATTGACAATGCCCCCTGCTCTACACACAGAGAAACAAACGCCCGCAGGACACCACTGAGCCAAGCCAAGGAACCAGACAAACAAATGGCGGACCGGATATGGCCAGCACAGCTTTGAACGTTATCTGATGCTTCCACTTCACTCGTTCCTCTACGAGTATGACTAGACCCCATGAACATGACCACAGCGGAAGGCAGTTTAGAGTACAAGGAGGTTAGGAGCCCTTTCACGATGAAGCCCCACTTAATAGCAACTCTTGCCCGAAGTCAGTCTTACATTTCTTTGTGCTATTATGTTCTCCTTATCATAGTTGATCAGGAAGTCGCAGTAGTAGCGGCGGATCATGTTTGGATGTTTCTTGATCAGCAGCATCATCTCCATGTGGTAGAATAGCAGCTCAGCCAGGTGAGGGTCCTGGAAATCCTCGGCATGAACCTTGCCTTTAGCTTGCTTAGGAATGGGTGCATCCTGGTGACGACACAGCCACAGCACCTCGTCTTTCGTCATCGACAGCATCTGCAACACTAGAGGAGCCTGCGAGGAAATAAAACAACACATACAGACGTAGGTTGCCGATTTGCGTGCTTCGCTTGCGACAGGCGTATACATGGTACATGGTGTGCGCACGCACGCACGCGCGCGTGCGTATGTGCATATGTGCATGTGCATGTGTGTGTGCGCGCGCGTGTGCATGTATGAACTGCAGGAGTGAGTTTGTGAACAAGGACTAGCTGAGTGAGTACAGTAAAACCTGTCAAGGCAACCACCTGTCCTAGAAGACCACTGACACCAGGACCAAGGGATGCTATTTCCAGTCAAATGACCTTGGATAAGGAGACCACCTGGTAACAGAGACCACGTTTTGAAGGTCCCTTGAGCGGTGGTCGTCTTAGACAGGTTTCTCTGTAGTAGTAGTAGTAGTAGTAGTAGTAGTAGTAGTAGTAGTAGTAGTAGTAGTAGTAGTAGCAAGAGTACATAACCCCCCAGAGTGTGCAACGCCTGATCCAGCTCTCCATAGGGTCTTGGTCGAGCGGAATCGGATCTTTGCGTCATAATACCGTACACATCTGAGGGGAACCCGGGGAGTCGCGGGTACTCTTGGATCAAAAACAATGGTGCCCTGCCTCGAGACCGGCCTTGCGCTGGTGTGAAGTGTACGCATGACATCAGAAGATCCGATTCCGCTCGACCAAGACCCTACACAGAGCTGGATCGGCGTTGCACACTCTGGGGGGTTATGTACTCTTGGTAGTAGTAGTAGTAGTAGTAGTAGTAGTAGTAGTAGTAGTAGTAGTAGTAGTAGTAGTAGTAGTAGTAGTAGCCAGACTACTAGAGTCTAGTGGACCACCTACCTTGGGTCCTAGCAGGCCTGGCTTGTCACTGATCAGGTGATACCATTCCTTCAGAGTGCCTCGTAAGAAGTCACGTCTACCCTTGTGCGTAGCAGGGCTAAACAGCAGCAGCACAACATCGAGCAGAATCAACAAGGACAATGAACACACGAGAAAGGCATGTCTTCGTGCTTACTTAAAAGTGAGAAATCGCATGAAAATACTTTGAAAATTGCTTCTAACATTTATGGAATCCAATACACCACACCACCACATTGCGCTCTTGGCCAATCCAAACTCTGCACTCACATCACCATCACCACAGCGAGGACAATTCCGGTATACAGGTTGATATTGATAATGACCCTCCAGACAGCTGTTTCGCTCCTCCTGAGCTCATCAGTGGAGGCATATGATGTTGAATGAAAGAATAATAAGAATAGACTAATGGCCGGGTCGTCGCTACTTCTTCTTCTCAAATTGTTTCTAACAGTTGAGGTTATTCTTGCACAAGCTGATGAGAGGCATGCGCTTCATTTTGAGCCTAGCTTAGAAGGCAGTAGAGTGCGTATGGCATGTACTGATATCAAGCCTACATGGTCTTAACAGCAGTCAAGAAACAAACTCAAGCAGCAGCACACACACACACACACACACACACACACACACACACACACACACACACACACACACACACACACACACACACACACATACACACACATACACACACACACACACACTGAAACAGAACTAGCCTAAGCTACATCTCTACAGTACAGTCCATTCTGACCTTGTGGTGATGGCTGCTGTCAAAGATTCGGCAAAGGCTTTCTCCAGCTTGGGCACTTTGGCACTGCAACAACAGCAGCACACACATGAACACATAGATGCAAACAAACGCACACGCACACACACACGCGTACACACACACAGATTAGAACAACAGCAGGGCACATGAAGCAAAAGACAAGTGACACAGGGGTGTATCTCTCCCACGCACACCCACACACACACACACACACACACACACACACCAACACGCACACCCACACACACAGACCCTTGGACCTTTCTTACAACACATAACAGTTATGAACCTATTCTCCATATTTGACATGACCACCCAGGCAATATACCAAGAAGCTTAGTAAGACAGAAGAGGAGTGGGTACTTACGCTTTGACGGCACCCTCGAGAGCTGGACCGATAGGCAGGACTTCATCTCTGAACAATGTCAGACAGTACTGGTCCGTGAGGATCATCCTGACCAGGGCCATTGCGTCATCGTTCATCACAAACGTGCCGGTGCAGCAGAAGAACCCGACTGAGCAGAGAACCAACCAAAGGAGAAAGCAGACAACATACACACACACGAACATACATATACACGTATACACACACGCGGGTGTGCACACACACACACACACACACACGATCGTAGGCGTTTTTGTGGCAATGCCGTCGCGGGGTCAGGAAAGAGAATGCTGCCCGAGCCAATGTGGAGTTTGAGTGCATTACAGCTTAGAAACAGTTAACGTTCCAGAAGGCCTCAGTTGAAGAAATAACCATCACAGATAAAGGATTTTCCGGCTCTGAACCAGAAATCAGGTCTGTCTTTTCACATCATTGGCCACACCAGTACGGATAAACTGGTAAACGCGATACAGCGTGACAATGTTGGTAACGGAGAATATGTCAACTGTGTTGTCTAAACGTGCTGTGAGCTCGTCAACACAAAGCACAATGGCTGCACAGCAGTACTCCTACCTAGTGCAAGCAAGTACATACATACAGCTATCCTGACAACAGTATGTGAAGTGAAAATAAACATGACTGGGGACAGTTGGCTTGCTCAATTCCAAAAATTGACAATGTTAAAATTGGGGAACTGAAAACTTCAGCACGGTAGCTCATGGTAGGACAGAGAGCTAGGGTGCAATCCTGCACGAGATGCTGACACAGTTCCAGCCAATTAGCAACGCACAGAACCTGGCAGATAGACCAGCAGCACAGTTCGTAAACAAGAAGCTAGACTTACACATAGTCCACTTGACAAACGCATCGATATTGATAAACTCCACGGCAGGCTACAAACAGCAGCAGCAGCAGCAGCAGAAACAGCAGCAGCAGAAACAGCAGCAGCAGCAGCAGCAGCAGCAGCAGCAGCAGGAGCAGAAACAGCAGCAGCAGCAGCAGCAGGAGCAGAAACAGCAGTAGCAGCAGCAGCAGCAGCAGCAGGAGGAGCAGAAACAGCAGCAGCAACAGCAGAACCAGCAGCAGCAACAGCAGCAGCAATGACAAACAACATAATTTCGATTGTGGGAATTAGGAAAAGAGAATAGTATGTGTGCACTGCATTTCGCTGCACACTGTGCGCCATTCTAAGTTTGGGCATGAACGTGAAACGTCACACCCAGGCCCGAGTCGTGACAACACTAACTTTCGCATCACATTCGATCCAGTTTTCATGTGGACCAAAGCATGTTTGGGGCGGCTTGCTCCACATTGGGATGTCACTGGCACAACCTAGCGATCCTAGAGAACGAGAAAGTTCATTGACTGCTAACAGCATCGCTACATCGGTGGAGTTCTGCGTCAGCAACGCGTATTTTAGATACGAGGATCAGTTCTACAAGCAAAAAGAGGAGCAGCCATAGGTTCCTCCCCACTTTCTCCGGTTCTGGCGGACATATTCATGGAATGGCTCGTGGAGCAATTGTTTAACAAATGTGGTGACTGAAACGGCAGCTGAGGATTTGAGCTCTTTTAGTCTTGGCCGTGCTCAAGTCTGTTGAGCACGTGGATGAAGTTCGCCAGACTGTAGCACAGGGTTTCGGTTTCGCTCCAAGCTGGGTTTGAAACCATTTTGTTCCTCGTCTCAAGACCATTTCAGGAAGCTCAAGATCGTGGAATTCGTCCAAGGGAAGGTAAAGTTATCGATCCTTGAACAGCTACAAGTAGTACTTTCATAGGAAAATGCGACTTTAACAGGTGTTGACGTGGGGTGCATTCAGGTAGCATCGTGCTGAAAGGGTTAAAATTTGGTTACTTTCTAGCCTGACATGTTCTTCGCCAATCCGTTCTTTGGTGCTCAATGTTACTGTAGCCGTGTAGCCCTTACCAAGTTGTACTGGGTTGCCTTGCGCATGGAGTTGGGATTGTTGAACAAGTTGAATGTGTTCTGGTTCTGCATCTGTGTGCATGCAAAGAAAGAACAGCAACGAAGACAAAGAGAGGGCAATAGAAACAAGAACAAACGAATAATATAACACAGCCTTGAACATACACACACACACGCGTGCGCGCGCGCACACACACGCACAAGCACACACAGTATAACCATACCTCCAAGGGCCGTAAAGTCTGTAATCTGCAGCCGAGGTACGGTGTGTACAAGGTCGACAGACTGACATACCATACTGCAGGTTCCTCAAAATAGTATTTTATAGGCCATAGCTGTATGCCTCCAAAGTATTTTCTACTGAAATGTTTTGCTGTACAGTGTGCGTGTGTGCGTGCGTGTTTGTGTGTGTTGCTTGAGAGTTTCCAAGATCGCCCCGGCTGGAGACGAGTTGCCAGCAGCACTCCACCGCCATGGCCCGCTCCTGATCCTCTTCTCTGTGTCTATGGACACGCGTTTCATCGACCAGGAGACCTAAAACGGCATGCCAAATTCTGCGCTCGTGCTCCCGCTTGAACTTTCAGGCATTCAATATCATGGTGTACATAAAGGGCAAGATCAAGGTCAAGGTGTGCGTGTGCATGGGATAAATAGATGTACTGTAGTGTCGCGTATAAAAACACGACCTGTATAGAAGCATGACTTGAATAGAAGCCGATTTTCGAAGGGCGCCGTGACACAGAGGCATGATTTGAATAGAAGCCGCTCTCTGCAAAGTACATGTGCACGTACATGCGTGCCAGTATGCACTGCACTGTGTGGACTCATGATGTTGATGTAGAATCATGTTTTTGAATAGAAGCATACTTTGAATAGAAGCATGGTTTGAACCCCGGCTTATCCGGCCGTAAGCATCTGCTTTTATACGCAACATTACGGTATGTGCGGTCCAGTGAGTAAGCACCACTAACCTGCTCGGCACTGATCAATCTCCTCATCATCACTGGTCCTGCTGACGTCACACACTGGATGATTGGCTGAAGAGCAGGAATGGGCATACAGACATTGTACACAAATGTCAATTGATACACCACCATTGGAATGCCAGGGGAGAATGAACCAGTGAGTAGGAGAGGAAAGAGAAAGAGTGAGTAAGTTGATGAGTGAATGTGACTATGAGTGTGTTTGTTTGTGTTTTCGTTTGTGTTTGTGTGTGTGTGTGTGCGTGTGTGTGTGTGTGTGTGTGTGTGTGTGAGAGAGAGAGAGAGAGAGAGAGACTTGCATTTGTAAGTAACAGCTCCACGTACACAACATAACAATTAGCTACTTACCCGATGGAAAATGTTCATGTCTTCATGAAGACGTTTGAACATGTTTTGTTCATGTCCTTGCACAATGTTAGCAATGCGGGGTATGAAGGTATCTCTGTAACACAATACATAGTATGGGGATACAGAGACATTGAGACACAGACATAGAGATAGAGAGATAGATAAATACAGTGTAGATAGATAGCATTGTGTAGATGGATAGATGGATAGATACATAGATAGATGAATAGAGAGAGAGAGAGAGAGAGAGAGAGAGAGAGAGAGAGAGAGAGAGAGAGAGAGAGAGAGAGAGAGAGAGAGAGAGAGAGAGAGAGAGAGAGAGAGAGAGAGAGAGAGAGAGAGAGAGAGAGAGAGAGAGAGATGGATAGATAGATGGATAGATAGATGGATAGATAGATGGATAGATAGATGGATAGATAGATGGATAGATAGATAGATAGATGGATAGATAGATGGATAGATAGATGGATAGATAGATGGATAGATAGATGGATAGATAGATGGATAGATAGATGGATAGATAGATGGATAGATAGATGGATAGATAGATGGATAGATAGATGGATAGATAGATGGATAGATAGATGGATAGATAGATGGATAGATAGATGGATAGATAGATGGATAGATAGATGGATAGATAGATGGATAGATAGATGGATAGATAGATGGATAGATAGATGGATAGATAGATGGATAGATAGATAGAGAGAGAGAGAGAGAGAGAGAGAGAGAGAGAGAGAGAGAGAGAGAGAGAGAGAGAGAGAGAGAGAGAGAGAGAGAGAGAGAGAGAGAGAGAGAGAGAGAGAGAGAGAGAGAGAGAGAGAGAGAGAGAGAGAGAGAGAGAGAGAGAGAGAGAGAGAGGGAGAGAGAGAGAGCCAGGAAAAGCACATACATGTATTTCTCAAAGTCAGACGTTGTAAGAAATCGTTAGTAGCATCGATTATGTCACATCATCACACTGCATTTCAACTCACAGATCAGGCAGAAACTAAGAAGTTGCAGCAGGCAGCTGTAAGGAAAATGCAATGCCCGCATTCTGCAGTCATAGGATTGTCTGCCTGAGTACTATGATAGCAGCGTACTCACTTGCATCACTCATGCATTCCATAGTTGGCAATGCACAATGGGCTAGTTGCCTCTCAAGCCTTGGCTCTTGCTGGCACTGAGCACATGTACTCTAATTTTAGAAATTTTCGGCGCTCAATATTTTCGGTATGAGGGCAAAAGGCCACGTTAGGTGAACAGAAATGCTAGGTACAGAGAAGCAGTTCCCTATTGGATTATGTATGTTAGTGTTTGTTCGGTGTATTGAAATTTTAGGTACGACACAGATGCACCGAAAGTACTGAAAATAAAAGTATACCGGAATTTGGTGAAATAATTACAGTGCTCTCTAGAGTACAGTAGTCATTGGCGGGACCTTGACTTACACTGTACCGCTGATGGACTCCACGCACACATGGTAGACGCCGAGCAGAACTTTGACGTCTTGTACGCGAGGCAACAGGAACATTACCTGGCAGTACAGGGTCAGGATGTCCATGTACAGCCGGCACATGTCATAGTTGTAGGTCTGAACACAGTGCACACGCACATTGCAAGCCACGTGCACGCAGACACATATGCACACACACACACACATACACACACACACACACTACTACTACTACTATGTACAGCTACCCTTTCGGGCCACGCCGCTCCCAGAAGCGGGAGAAAACGACAAGAAGAGAGAAGAGAAGAGAGAGAAATCGCAAAGTCAACAATATTTGGCATGGGGTTGCAAGTACACACACACACCCATACACACCCCAAGTACCATGTACCATGTATACGCCCGTCGCAAGAGAAGCACGCAAATCTGCAAATGCACTGGATGTGCATCCACAGATTTTCTCCCACACACACACACGCGCATCAACCCAAGCCAAGTGCAATGCATCATGTGAACACAGCCTGCCTCAGACAGGCCAGTGAACTAGCGCTGCGAGTGCTCAAATGACGGAACGCAGCGAACAAAGCATAACAATCAGGTTGACCAGCAGGCAGCAATTCTTTACCGTAAGTGCTGTGCAAGACTAAGTCAAGGCAATTTCACACTCCATCTCTGTTACACTGGGCCCACACTCTAGCCATGTACCTGTAAGCTATGATAGGACACTTTGACTTACAACATCAAACTCCAGCTGGGCGGCCGCTATGATATTGAACAGCTCCAGCGTACGCTCCTGAAACACACACACAGAACAAGGACAAGCATTGTGTGGTGCAAACATTACCGCCAAATAGCATCAGAACTATACAACGGGCTATGCCTCAGACACGTACATGGTACTGCGCCTATGCTACTGTTCAGTGAAAACCGCCACGCTCTGATGTTGTTGATGACACTCGAGACCAGCCGCCATCCAACCAGCTGCAGCAACAGCTTCTCGACATGGCCTGAAACTGGAATGTATCTATTTATTCCCGTAGCTATGCAAAAGACGCTAGCCAGGGTCCACACGTCTTCAATTCGGTAATTGTTTGTGCCCATCTGAAGTACAGACTTTCACGTGACGCACCATGGTTGGCGCGATATCTCGTATGTGATCCGTACCGTTCCGTACCATCCCGCTAAAGAAAGCGGGACACATATTCAAATAGTGATTTCAGAGACATTCTGTGCGTAGTAGTCTCAGTGTTTTCTTGGCGCTAGTAGTTTTCAGTCCGTGTTTTCGTTCAGCGTGTCTTCGTTCAGCGTCGAGATGTCTTCAGCTTCTCCTTCCGGTTCTGAGGGAGCTGATCCGGTGCTGGTGACGGACAACGAGGAGAGTATAGCAGTGTCGGATATCGGATCCATGTCAAGTGTTAGTAGGAAATCGGCCCGCAGATCGGCCAGTAGACTCAGATCTGTTTCGCTAGAGCGTTTCCAGAAGCTAGAGTTATCAGCAGGCCAGACGTTTGCTTCCATCGAGAGTTTTATGTCCCGATTTGATCAGGCGGCCGGGAGTTTGTCGAGTAGACCAATCCGTGGATATCGATAATGATCGGGACTTATGTTTGAGGGTGAGATGAGTCAGGCCCGGACGAGACGCCGGCTCTGGCAGACTATGTGACTCGTTCTACTACAAATAGAAGAGAATACAGCCAGAGAAGTTTGATCTTTAACATGTTCGAATTAACTTTCCGTGTTCGGTCGGTAGGGCCGTCATCACGTGACGCAGCATGCCTGGCCCTACCAACTACCCCGTTCATGTCCCGTACCGTGCCGGCAAAGACTGCTGGCCATATGTGATACAATGTATAAGACTTTCAACAGCAGGATCACAACGTGAAGCAACTTGGTAGAATGTGTATGTCTGCGAAGTGTATCGAGGGAATGCATGCAGGGCGATAGTGCGGGTTTGAATCCCAGGTTATGTGTAAAAAAAAATGAAAAAATGAAATAAGCTAGTACCATAGCGTAATATTATAACGAGAGAGCTTGAAAGCCCAGGGCCCTCGCTATGCTTTTTTGCCTAGGTTATTCGAACTAATGGAAACATTAAAGTCGGCGGAATAGCGCGAGCTCCGGTGTGGGGAGCAAACCTTTCTTACAATCATCGGCTACATCATTGTATTGCAAAAACGTTTCCATCAATTCGAATAACATGCATGATGACCTAGGCAAAAAAAGGCAAAAAAAGCATAGCGAGGGCCCTAAGCTTTCAAGCTCTTTCGTATGGTGGCATTAATAGTAGATGAATTTTCATTATCACGACTATCAACCTCCAAAGTAGTGGGCGGCTTCCGAGACTTACTTTAAAATCCAGCAGATCTCGGAGCATATCAATGGGCATCTTGATGTCCTTCAGGATATCCCCGGCGTTTGCCTTGATGTGATTCGAGCTAGGGACATGCTGTAAAGGCATAGACAATACACAATGTTTAGACACTGAAGCACAATGCTGCATAACATATCTTTTCAGGTAGGGGTGAAACACATGAGTCGATAAGGTTGAGTCGATTCACGGGGAAACCGTATCAACTCGCATCTATTTATCTGTAAAATAGAATAAACACCTCTGTCTTGTGTTTATGGGAATATAAACACTGTCTATAAAAACCTCGGCCACGCCTCGGTTTTTATAGCAGTGTTTATATTCCCATAAACACTACGACATCGGTGTTTATTCTATACATAAAAAATAAGGCTAAAATAAGGCTCTGCGAATTTCTGCAAAAGGAACAAGCACAGCAAATTGTTCAAGCGTTGTTCGCTTGGAGGATGGAGGAAAGCTGTTCTGCAAGCTCCTTTAATAAACAGGTACTGTAAGGCAACAAATATTCGGCGCAAATTTATTTTCAGCTATTTTTGGCCTGGGCATATTTGGCCAAAAATTTGTTGTGGCTGAAATTTTGTTTTCGAAGGTTCAAATTTGAGCTGGCCGAAAATTTGTAGACTTGACCACAGTCGCAAATGGAGTGCATGTATCGTGACTCATTTGTGCGAAGCAAAGCACACGTTCTGTTTTGTCATGCATGATTCGTGCCGCACATGACTTGAAATCAGTCGCAATTTCTCCATTTTACTTCAATATTCCGGCAATTTTTGACACTATCTGCAATTCCCTGCAAGTTGTGGTATTTTACCTCGCAACCTTTCCGCGATATATCCAAAATTTCTCTGCGAGTTTCTGGAGGGACAGGTTTGTATTACAATAATACGTATATTTGAACACACGGCGAGGAGACAATAATTTAATAACCGCAATCAATAGAACTAGCTGAGCCGACATTCGTGTACTTTATTCATGCAATGTAAAAACGCCTGATGACTCATGAGTGTTGTACGAAAACTTGTTTGAATCCATATTTTTTCCCTGCACCATTTCTTCATATTTTCATCGTTTTATTGCACATCGTCTCCACCGTTTTTACATTGCATGAATAAAGTACACAAATGTCGGTTCAGCTAGTTCTATTGATTGCGGTTATTATAATACGTATAATTATAAATTGTATGCACAGCTCACTGACTTGTCAGTTTGAGCACTCTGGCAAGGTACGTCCAGGCCTGGTTTAAATCTGGCTTTGGAAGTTTTATTTTTCATTGCTATCAGGTTCGGCCTCATCTTCTCTGTGCTGCGCTGATCAGTCCACAAAGGACAAAACAGTTCTGTCCCCAGATTGAGTATATAAATTATAAATTTTATATACGTATTCAGGGACTGGGAGAACTTTTCGTCCCAGGCTTGAGTCCTGGTGGAGTTGGCACTTTGTTCGCTTTTCTGGCAGTTCATTTCCCTGACTTATTATTTCATGCATCGTGTTTTCTCCTTTCAAGTATCAAGTATCTGGTATACATGTACATGTATAGACATGAGCCAGTATTCACGTATGTGTGTGTGTGCGTGCGTGTGTGCGTGAGTGATGATGATTCATTTTGTTTGCTGCAAACAATACTCCCTTAGTTACAGTCGCTGATTGTGTGGTGGAATACAGTAATTATCCTTAAAAACAACTCACTATTGAAATAAAACTACAGACATTTTGTTGTCACAATTACCTTGTACTCCCAGTTGGGGAACTTCTTCACCACATACTTTATCACACTCTCCATGGGCTTTTCCTCATACACCAATTTGCACATCTCCGACGCATACTGTTCGGAAAAAATCAAAACAAAGCTCCATGTCCAGTGGTGGCTGAAGAGATGGCTTGTGAAGTGAAAATATCCATACCTGTTTGATGTCATAGAGGCGAGTTATAACTTGACTTCCCTGAAGGGTCAAGAGGACGAGCCTCTCGCCGATCCTGCTCTCCCCAATATTTGCTAAAGACATTGTTCCAGTATTCCGGCTAGCAAACTTCAGCAGGCAGCAGAAGCAGCCACGGCCGGAGAGGGAATCTTCTTTCCACCCAGAACAGGTCCCTTGATGTCAATACTCATGCAAACAACTACTTTTCGGAAACTTTCTTCAACCAGACAACAAAGTGAAGATCTCATCGAATCATCTGTGCATGCAGTGCCATCGCGTCTGCAGTTGTGCAGGCGGATACGAGCGCTGTACTCAGGAGTACACGTACACCATGATACACGAGTACGAGGTACACAGTACACGTGTACACACAGTCACTCCTTTTATCTCGCTGAGACACACAACAAACATCACGTGCGCGACGTGGACTGTTATGTGTGTTGGCCACTTACCTCTCTTTGGCCTGGACTGGAGTGGAGACATAACAGTGGATCGGGGATGGAGAGTGGAGTGGTATTTGTAGCATACTGACGTGCATGTGCACCAGCAGCTAGCTAGCACTCAGCAGTCTGCAAAACTAAGAACAAACTGTCAAAGAAAGAAGAAGGGCCAAGACCAGGCAGCAGCACGTGGACTGAGCTGAGGGAGTCCTAAAAACCACTCCCTGACCAACGATTATGATTATTATGTACTGTACATGAATTTGCCAAACGACACTACAGTAGAGTCGCGCGCCCAAGAACGTTGTTTCCAAGGGGTTAACCTGGGACGTTCTTATTTTTTCTGCAATCTGGCTGCGTTCTTGTAGCACGTTCTTAGAAACAATCCGTACTGGATCATATGTATTCCACAAGCTGCCAGAAAACCACCACCGCCGTTCTTAGCTTTAGGCTGCGGTGTTCTTAGAATTTCAGGCTGGACGTTCTTGGGCTCCGCGTTCTTCAGCGCGCGACTCTACTGTAGGGCGCTGTGAATCACTGATCTGTCTCTCTAGAAAGTTCAGAAACCAAGTGAGAATGGATTGGAGGCATCAAACATAGCAGGGGGTAGCACTTGAGTACTTTACTACTCCCTAACACAACCACACGCACACACAAACCCGATGAGATAATTATTACCCAGGACACAGTCAAGAAGGATCAGAGCGCATCATGATTGTTTAAAAAAAGCAGTTTTTCCATTATTCTTTTCGTCAATCTTTGGACTCAAGTGGTTATGTTTTGGTGTAGAGAGATGAGAATAAGGTGAGAAGCATAGAGAGGAAAACATGTGAAAACAAGACTGTGTTGAGAGCACAGGAAGAGAGGAGAAAGCAAATCAGAAGACATGCATCTAAGTGTTCTACTAGAAGACACAAACCGGCCCGTGTACAAACTGAACACAGAGAGTTAGAGCTAGCAAAAGAACAAAAGCTGTGACACAATCACGAGAAACACAGCCAGTAGAGGTAGGTTAAAAGCCAAAGCGCTCCTGAAGAATAAAATGGAGATGTTGGAACGTTGGACGGTGCAGGCAGGATAAAAAGTCAGCAGTGCTATGAATAATGGGCTAAGGTCTGGTTATTTTCGGTCAAGACACACGGCAGTAGCAGTAGCATTGTCGCAGTGATCTAAGTCAACACATACTGTAGCAATCATCATCAAATATGCAATAAAAGGAAGACAGAAAGAGTTCCAGCCTCAAATGATCCTCAAAAGTGACAATATCCCAGTCGATGGAATATGGACACAGGTTAGCAAGCATTTATGCACTTGCATACCACATACGCGCACACACAAACCACACACACACGCGCGCGCACACACATACATTTCCTAGTCGAGATATACTCACTCAAAAGAGCAGCAGTAGCAATGGGTATTATTACTTTTGCTAGCGTCTACACACGTCACACGGGGAAAGGGGTTATGAACTAAAGGGGTTAGCCGGCTAATGGAAGCAATGGCTACTGTACTAAGGAGAGCAGACTAAGAAGGGACAAGGGCTAGTGGATCAAAACAAGGACATTCTGCCGTCTTACACGCAGGCATCCTATGATGGTGAGGGCAGTGATGACAGGGAATCGCTGCCGCGAGACAGGCGAGCACGTTTCCGGGGATTTATTTCCTTGCAAGTCTGACACGTCCAGACGTCAGGGACATTGCTGGGACGAACTTTAGCGCAGGACATGTGCAGCCAAATGAGGCAAGACGAGCACTCAATCATGGGCCGCCCTTTAACAAACAAAAACGACAAAGGCAAGAACCGTATGGGTCACAAGACAGCATATGTATTCGCAGTAGCACACACACACATTTACACCTGCTCATTGCATAGCACGTGTACACATGCAAACAAGCGCGTGGCGTGCGCACCAGAAAGACTGAAATAGCAAATTATTGGTGGTATTCATTCTTGAAGTACATATATTTCACAACTGGAATTTACACACAGCTGCATACACAACGCATTTAAGGTGGCTGGGGCGGTACAACTTTTTTGGGAAATTTTTGACTGCATTTTTGAGTTTATCGGCAAGGCAGAGATGAAATTTGAAAATGTTTTCTGGTGAATCTCTGGAGAATAGCCTTCTCTAGCTTCCTATAGTTTTATTTTTACTTTTGGACAAAATTTGAAAACGTTTTATGAAAGGTTCGTGTTATTTTTTCACGGACCTTTCATAAAACTTTTTCAAATTTTGTCCAAAAGTAAATATAAAACTATAGGAGGCTAGAGAAGGCTCTTCTCCAGAGATTCACCCGAAAACATTTTCAAAATCTCCACCTTGCCGATAAACTCAAAAATGCAGTCAAAATGTGATCAAAATGACCCCTAAAAAGTTGTACCGCCCCAGCCACCTTAATCGCATACAACCCTGCTCATTCTAGAACTAAGTACAGTCAACTCCGGATATAACGAACACTGGTGCAGCAGAATTAGTTCTTTATAGCCGAAGTCCGTTATAACAGAAATACACACACACTATACAAGCAGCAAGCCATGACTGCCAAGTGGACCATGAATGCACGAGTGCACTTTGTTCACATGCGACCCAACAAGATTTGGTTCGTTATAAACGAAAATTGTTCGGTCAAGGGTCAATTGTGTATGGGTTCAAACAGGGACATGGACAAGGGTTTGTTATATCATGAAATTCGCTAAGCGACTTTGTTATAAGCGGAGCCGACTGTATGTGCATGTGCAGTGCAGTTTGATTATGTGTACTAGTATCAGAAACCATGTGAGCCACTCACGCCAATACAGAACTCACACATCCAACATTCTCTACTGCGCCATACGCATCTGCTACCTATGTACAAATACTTTCTACTACAAGAGAGCTGTGGACAGTGAAACCTGCCAAGGCAACCACCTGTCTCAAAGGACCAACGGGTGCCATTTCTAGTCAACTGACACTGGATAAGGAAACCACTTGTACACAAAGACCCCATTTTGAAGGTCACTTGAGCATTCCACTTGGACAGACTTTACTGTACTAGAATGGTCTAATAAGTGATGCATTTTCTTAGACTTACAGTGAGAATAGAATGCACAATTGGTACTGTACCGATTCGCTTATGTTCGAACATATGAGAAATTTCAACCGATGTCTGGAATGGGTAACCAAACCTACCCAGTGCGCACAACTATACCAGTCTACATTTGTAGTATACAAAGTACTGTAGTGTGAAGTTCACTGTGTGGAAAGAAGGAATGCAAGTGCTTCTAATAGCACAATGCATTTTCGGGAACCAATTACATGCCACAGCTGGAGTCTACAAACAAGGGACTAGCTACACAGATGTACAACGTCGTCTAGCAGAAGAAACACACTGAAGCAGTAGTACGCTGAATACACTACTACTACAAGCAGAAAATTAGTAATCACAGTTACTACTGCACAAACGATTGTCAAACAACACAGAAACATACTAGTAGTACAATCATAATAACAATAATTATTATTAATTATTTTGTTTGAGGGCGACTATGGGGAAACGAGTACAAGAAAAAACACAGGCACCTATCGCCAGCACAGATATAAAGAGCGTGGGGAGATCCGTTCCGCTCCTTGCATCGTCTAGAGTCCAAGACGGTCACCAAGACTATGCACTACGAAGCCCACCAAACAACTGCTTGCACGAGCAATAGTCACAACCAGCCAGGTCCAGGGAGTTACTCAAGCGTCAAAATACATAACACTTCTGAAGTACAACATCCCCAACATTCATCCATCAATAGATTTAAAAAAGTGAGAGCAAGTGTACATATCGCGCACATTCGCACAAGAGAAGATGGTATTGTAAAGCTGTTGCCGAATACTTAGGACAAATCAACGGGACACACAATGACAAGGTACCACAGCCCAACTTGGAGAGATGAACAACAAAAAATATTGCTACTGGGAACTGTTGGGTGATGAACCATGGCAGCCTTGGGGACTCTATGAGGTGACTGCATGAACAGAATCCCTGTTAGTTATCCCTTATCAACAACATCACGCAAAACAACTAGAGTACGAAACACTCCCTCAGAACGCGATGCTTGCTACAACACAAACACACAAATATTGCCAGTGTTGACCTACAGTACAGAGGGCAAGGCCCATACGCACTCACGTATGTATACCACATAATCACATGGAGAGTACAGCCAGAAAGTTGGCGTAAGGTCACGGTTCTGGGAGGATGTGACAAGAAGACAACTTCCATCACTACCCCCACTGCCTGACTGCACAAAACGTCGTCAACAGTTACTCAGCACACAAACGTAGAACCAACTAGACACAACAGACATGGCTCTAGCTCTGCAAGTGCAAGCTGACGCCCTGTACGCACAAAAGCCAACGATCTGATAACGATTCACGTACGCAGTTACTTCATCGGCATACATTTGAGATAACAAACAAGACGAACTCCACAGAGTCCTGAGACGAACGGAAAAAGTAAAGGCACTGTTGCTCACCTGCAAACGGCTTCCCACAAAAGCATGTTACGTTCTCAAAGGATTCATGACCTGCATCGTATATCCACACAAAAAATACACAGCAAATAAAACAAAATCGTTGTTGAAACTTTTCAAGACAAAGCATGAGCAGCGTGTTTTTAGCATGGAGCAGCATGAGCCACGTGAAAAGACAAAGCATGAGTTATAACAATCTCACTACTAACCAGGTGGGTACTCGATGTCTTCGTCTACGGTTTCCGCATCCTCGCTTTGCTCCGATGTTCGTGGACTTGCCGCAGCCTCGGAATCACTACTTTCGCCAGCTTGTGCGTGTGACCTGACTGGGCACTGCGCATCATGTTGCGACTCCTACAAAGGCAGACACAAACGAACACCAACCTATTCCATGAAATGGGGTTTGAAGAAAGAGTCTCGACTGAAGGTTATTTGAAGGTCTACAGAAAACAAACTAGAACAAGTGAGGACTTGGACAACGATCACTCACCTGTAGTCGAGATTCGTATGCCAAAACAACATTGCAGAAAGTGTCGAAGTTGTCGATTCTTGTTTTCGGCATTACCCCCGTCGCAACCTAAGGAGAGGTTAAGGGAAGTGACAACACACAGCACAGAGCGAATGGCAGACTATTACATTCAGGAGGAAGAATACAATCAGTTAGTTTACATGCTAACGTACAAACGCAAGTTCACTTACTGAAGTACAGCGAAGCGAGAGAAAAACGGACAGAAGAGAAATAAACATGTTCACACTTACGAGATGCTCGATGGCAGACTGGACCTGTCTGTCTTCGTCATGCTTGTGCTCTGTAGGATGAAAGAAACAGCAAAGCTTGTGTGTATTTCTAGAATCTTTCAAGAGTGATCTGCTATCTTCTGGCAGTACAAACTAACCTTGAATGTCTTCTCCAACAGCCATGCTCTGATGCTTGAAAACACAGCGAGGCCGCTCCCTTGAATGTCCGTGGAAGTAATCCGCTCTCAGCATCACACACGTGCCTTCGTTAGAGTCCCGTAGAGGGAAGACACACAAGGAGAACTACAAACAACAACCACTGCCTGATGATGATGACCCACAACAGAGTTTCTTGGCTGGGTCACACGATCATCATGATCAGGCAACGTTTTGCTTTGTTGTTCAACCTTGCGCCAAGGCGTCGAACCTCGTACCCAGCGAGCGGTATCCTCATCATGACGTCAATATACGTCATACACGCGATCGCCGGCGCCGATCGATCGCGCGACGTGACGTCGTCGCGATCACGATGCATCGATGACATGCCACAAAAAAAGCGCGGGTGTTCGATGTGACACACAAAAATCACACCACGTGGCCACGCACGTTTGTTCAAAAAGACTCAAAAGAGTAAACATGATTGCAGAACGTAACCCGGGCCCCAGTCACCCCCACTGGCACTGGGCCCCCACTGCCCCAGTGTTACTGTAAAAGCAGAAATTTTCGGTTGTGTAATATTTTCGGTATTCGCCAAAATCGGCGGTTCGGTAGAGGGAAATTTTCGGTAAAACCCGTTCTCCAGGTAAGTGTACTAGTACTACATGTATACAGTATCGGTTGTACCGAAAATTTCGGTGCGTTTTATTTTCGGTAAAACTTGTCGGCACCGAAGTTACCGAAAATTAAACACCACCGAAAATTTCTGCTTTTACAGTACTACTAATACCGGTACTACTCTTGAATTTTATTATTATTATTATTATTATGACGGATAACCCAAAGGCAATGGTACCTAAATCAGGGGGTGGCTCCGGACCAAACACAGAGCAAGGAGCTCAGCCAGCAGAAAACGTCAGAAAACAAATAAACAAAAACAGGAAGCCTGGGATGTCAGCCGTACTTGCAGGGTGCACTGGACAACAGCAGCACATGCACATGCGACGGGAAAAATATAAATATGAAGCATCGGATGTCAGAGAAGTACGTGCAGGAGTGCGCCAGACAACAGCAGCACATGCACACGCGACGGGAAAAAGAATGAAAAACACAGTTTAAAATCCAGGGATCCCAGCAATGTCGTAACAGTACTGAGAGAAATGACGCTTTAAGTCTCTTTTGAATGTATGAGCATGTGCAATCTCACGCAAGTCCTTTGGCAAATTGTTCCATACAGCTAGGGAATGAGAGAGAACATGGCGGCTTCGATATGGACCTTGAGCAGAAGCAAATAAGAGATAGAATGGGCGACGAGCACTAGAGCTAAGAGAGAAGTGACATGCACGAAGAAGGTGTGGATGAAACTTTATAACGTTAAAAACCAGACAGAGGGCTCCAATGTGTCTGCGCCAACTGAGGGATTCCAAACCGGCTGCACGAAAGAGCTCGGATTTGGAAGTGCTCCACTCAGCTGCGCAGCCTTTCCGGTACAGGTATCGTCTAGCGACCTTTGCCTGAAGGCGGTCCAGTGACCCGGTATCTCGTGCAGGCACGCCACAGAACCAAAGCTGGCTAGCGTATTCCGCCACAGGCCGAACATATCCGCGGTAAAGCGCCAATATGGCGGCAGGCGGTAAACGAGAGGCCATGTGGCACAGCAGAACAATGCGTTGGCGAAATTTCGTTATCATTTGAAGGAAATGTGGCTGCCAGGACATGTTGTGAGCCAAGATGACTCCGAGGTGGCGGTGCTCGTTGAGTGTTGGGATGTTACTGTTATTAAGGGAGAAGGTGTAGGGAGGAGGGTCCGTTGAGGAGGAGAAAACCACATGTGCTGACTTCTCAGCATTGTAATCTCCCCCCACGGAGAGAGCCCAAGATCCACACGCGTCCAGGTCTTCTTGTACTTCGGAAGACGATGTGTTACCTAATGCTGTATCGTCGGCAAAGAGATACAGATCTGATTGCACTAACGAAGGCAGGGTGTTGATATATAGGAGGAATAAGGCTGGACCCAAGTGAGAGCCTTGTGGGACCCCAGCAGAGAGAAGACGGGGGTCACTCAGTGAGTCACTAACTCGAACCTGAATGCGTCTGTCCGTCAAGTAGTCTTCAAACCAGCGGGTGGTCGAGGTGTTGGCAAACGAGGTGAGTTTTGTGATAAGGTCGTGGTGTGAAACTCTGTCAAACGCTTTCGCGAAATCCAAGAATATCATATTGTATGTACAACGCCGGTCCAATGCAGAGTATATATTGTGTGTTAATACAAGGAGTTGATCAATTGCGGACCGTTTAGGAACAAATCCGAATTGTGTCTGACTGAGGATATTATTGTCCGTCAGGAAACGAACGAGTTGTCGGTTTACCAGCTTGTCAAAAAGTTTCCCAATACTGGGCAGGATAGAAATTGGACGATAACCTTCAGCTGAGTGCGATGGTTTTTTTGGTTTGGGGACTGGTGTGATGACGGCAGTTTTCCATTGACCAGGGAAGGAGCTTGTCCGAATGCAAATGTTGAAGAGGGTTGCCAAAGAATCACAGATTACCGAGGCGGTCTCCCGCAGAAGAGTGTTAGAAATGGGTCCGCCCGAGGACTTATGGACCTTTAGCAGTTTTATTTCATCAAAGACTTGGCCAGGAGTAACCTCGTCCAATTCAAACAAACTTTCGAGCCGTGGTGCTTGTGGTGTGCAAGGTGCTGTGGGTTGTGTACGCCGTTGGTGATTTTGTGGGTTCTGAGTCTGACTTTGTCGTGCGAAATGGTCTGCTAAGTGGTTTGCCTTTTCAGAGTCAGTCACTATGTCACAACCATTTGCAGAAACTAAAGTTGGTATTGTCCCAAGGGGTGAGGAAATGCCACATAGCCGCTTCATACGGTTCCACCATGTTCTAGTTTGGCACCCATTATTAAGGTCATGTCCCAGGCGGGAGTAGTAGCTATCTCTTGCAGTTTTGTTGGCTGAAACGAAAGCGTTGCGAGACAATTTATAGGCGACCCAGTCGCATAGGAGGCCCGTAGATTTAGCTCGCTTGAAAAGTCGTTCTTTAGTTCGGTGAAGCGTGCGAAGACTGGTGGAAAACCACGGTTTGTGGCGCGATCGTGTCCTGCTACCCTTCGTGATCAGTTTCATCGGGACATAGTTATTAACTGTGGATAAAAAAACACCTTGCCAGGCAAATAGAGCGCTGTCACCATGAGTCGCGCCAGTCATACAGTCTGAGAGAGGTTGCTGGGTGAGGTGATCACACAAGGCTTTGAAATTTGAATTCCTGTAGTCAGGCACCCACCTCGAGGGTGTCGTGTCGGCCGATTGTGGCAATGCATCAAAGTGGAAGATAACTGGAGTGTGGTCGCCCAGTGGTGCAAGCGTAGATGTGAATTTCACAAAGTCAATGTTGTTTGTGCACACGAGATCCAGCAACGACTTGGAAGTTCCCGTGGAGGAGAAACGTGTAGGTGTGTCACGCATTAGTTGATATAGTCCTAAATTGTCCAGGGTATCTTGTAATGTCAGGCCCTCGCGGGTAGAGGTGTCTCCAACATTCCAAGTCGACAACTTGGCATTGAAATCGCCCGCAAGGACAATGTTATGTTTGCAAGTGTTTGACACAAGTTCAATTTTGCCAGATATGTCCTGGCAAAATGTCTGAATATTCTGCCACGGAGGCCTGTAGCAGTTGAAAAGCATAACCGATGTTGTTTTGAGGCGAAGTTCAACGCAGAGGCATTCAATAGGAGGAGGAGGCTCCAAGTCAGCCCTGCGGGAAATGAATGCACTGAGAGACTGGTGGTAGTATATTGCAACTCCGCCACCTCGCCTCTGGGTGTCACTTACGAATTATCAGTGTACACGTATGTTCAAGACGCACTGAGTCTGTCACGGCATGTGAAATCCAGTCAGGGAGTACCGATAATCAGGACCCGATAATCAGGCCAAGTACCAGGGCTAGGGTACTACCAATGGGGTTATGAACTCTTGGTACTACTACTAGGTAGTACCCAATTACCCCAACTACTAGTAACCAGGGAGGTATTGTACTACTCCCTGCTAGTAACTACAACTAATGCAACTTGTTACTTGGGCCCAAGATCATTCACATAACCGTACTCTTGCCAGTATTGTATACAGCACTGCAGGTGAGGAAGCCCTTCACAATAGTCAACACTCTTGGTGGTACCAAGAGTTCATAACCCCGGATTATGTACTCTTGGTGGGATGTGTAAGGCTTCCTGCCAGGGAGACCAGAACATGCAACCGAACTCCGCTGGAAAATTATAAATTCCAACAGATTCGAGATGGCCGATGCCTTAAAAATGCTTGATGGGATATTCTGTACCCAGAAGCGCACACTATACGCAGTGACCATGCTTTGGGTCATCCTAATATGCTCTCTTCAAGCCCATAGTGTCATACATTTCTGGGCACTGCAAACCGCTCAGTACTGATTCGCGTCACGACTACAGTAGTAATTATTGCGGAGCACTGTGCACTGTGGTCACACACGTAAACACACTCCTGAAGTTTTATTTCATGGTGGTTAATATTCGCGTTATGCTTTTGTCGCGAAATTAGCAAACATTAATACGTCGCTAACATTAAAATTTATAATAGGCAGTTTACAGCATTGTGAAGATAAACTAGTACAGTCTGTATCGGCTATAGCGTACCCTTTTGATTTCCGTGATTTTATCACTATAACCGATGCATCACTATATGCGATACGATCGATTTTTCTTTTTCGATCGACACATGAAAGGCAGGCAAGGAAATACTTCCAGCATGGCGTTTTGACAAATGAGCATGCTGCATAGTTGACAGTGCCCACATTTCCATAAAAAAATTATGTTATGTACATGATTGTACATGTATCACTATAAAAATAAGCAACGTGAAGAAAGTAAAAAAAGGGCCTTTGATACTACAGTCAGACCTCGCTTATCCGGTTCTCGTTTATCCGGATCCCTCGCCATCCGGAAGAAAATTGTTGGTTACCGATTTACAGGTATGCTATGCACACACACAGTATGTGTGTTCGATTATCCGGTTCCCTCGCCTATCCGGATATTTTTGTGGAAAACGGATGTGTGCGGTTAAGCGAGGTCTGACTGTATTGCTACATGTATTCTAAAGTTATCACTATAGCCGATAATAGTATAGTGTGTTATGCATGTTTTGATTCTTTGTTGCCATCAATCAGGCATCATAATATCCGATACTGTAAATATACAAATTTTCGGCAGCTATTTAATTTCGGCTATATTCGGCACCGACCCAAAACGCCTAAATTAA